GAATTCCTAAATGCTTAGCATTTGTCTTAATTTTCTCATTGCTGAGACAAGCCCAACACGCATGGTGGAAGGAAGAGAGGTTTATTGTGCCTCACAAGTATTAGTTTATAGTCAGCTGGTGCCAAAGTGGGTGGCGTGGCAGAGGGGGGTCACCAAGGAGAAGTAAACAGTCCATGCTGGGCAGCGGGCTGCAAAGCAGAAGGCACCCAACAAGCAACAAGTGACCAGAGTGGTTTTCTTTCTACCCTTAGTCCAGGCTACTGTCAGTGGCCACCAGGTCCCTCTGAATCCAGATGATGGGTCTGTTTCCCCCAGGCCACCTCACCCTGACCCTGAGGAGCCCACACTGAAGAGACTTTTGATGTCAAACCCTGGACTTCTCTGGCAGGCGGCTCCTTCTCTCCCTGGGGCCAGACTTGGCAGCAATGCCAGCTTCTCGCCTATAGTTAGGTATCTGTTCGTATTTTATGCTGTAATAAAAGCAGGTAGCTTTTGGATTCTAGCTTTTGGTTCTTGGGTCCAATCCAGTGTTACTGTGACAACCACACTGTCTTTGAGTCCTCAAATGGCCTTGGAGCTTCGCCAGCCTGAGACTCCAAGTCCGCTGGAAAGTTGTGACCGCACGTAGACGTCCCTCTCCTCACAGCATGAGCATGGGGACCAGTCTCCAGTTTGTTTCAAATCCCCCCTTCAGGGCAAAAGAGAAATGCACACTCCCTCCTTCAGTCTGATTTGTGAAGGCCTCCTGTGAACACGATCTCTTCCCCCACCTCAGCTGCACACAATCTGGTTCTGTACGGCTTCCAGTTCATGTGGCCACTGGTGAGCATTACATCTTTCGACATGGTGTCCTCCAAACTATACTTTATTTTTGTTTTTGTCTTTTGAATCTTACACGAAATAAAAAGTTGTCACAAACCAAAATCACACTAGTATTCTGTTGTGGAAGATGGGAAATCTTGTAACTGGAAATTGAATTTTGTTTCATGCAGTGGCTCCTTGGTGAGTGTGCCTGAGGTCCTCTTGCCATTGTCATTGGCCAGTTCTAGACAGGTCCCCTACACAGAGAGGGGATGACATTTGTTGCTGTCACGGATGAATGACCCTCAGGTATTTTTTTTTTTTTTTTTTTTTTGGTAATGGGGATCGAACTTATGACCTTGCACTTGCCAGGCAGGCGCTTATGCCACTTAGCTAAATCCCTGGGCCTCGACCCTCAGGTATTTAACTTTCACAAGAAGCGTGGAGAGCAATCTTCTCCAGGATGCATCTTGAGGGCCCAGTAAATAGTTTTTTCAAGATATATCAAAGTCAAGCTTATTTTTCTTTGATGTGATATTTAAGAATCCTCATGATCACAATCTTTCATTGTGTACTTGCTACTACTTCTCGTATTCCATGCACAGATAATTTGTTTTCTTCTAATTTCCAAAGGAACCTGAAAGATCAGGTGTTACTCTAACTTACCTGCCAATTTCTACTATTTTTAATAAAAAAACTAAAAAAAAAAATCTATATCCCTGAGTAGTTTGGAGGATGGTCAATATTGCAGAAAACTTACAGACTTTTCTGTATGAAGAGGTCTAATTGTGTTTGCAGGAATTTAAGTCTGGATTTTCCTTGGCAGTAGTTCAAATGTAACCAACTACTATTCCCTTAAAACTACTTTTAAACTAAAGTACTTTACAGATGAATTCTATAAAGATAAAAACATCATCACAACCACGTTTCAGACAAACCCAAAATACTTTTTTTGCACAGTGCTATGGTTTGTGTCTAGGTTGCTCCCCACAAGCCTCATGCAATCATGGACATGGCTGAGTCTAGCAATCATGATTGGTTCGTTGTCCAGCACTGGGACTGGTGATGTGTTTCACCCACCCAGCATACAGTGTAAGGGCGGGAAGAAGGCATGTTTTCTCTCTTTTGCCCTGTTTGCCCTTGCTGTTTGCAGTGGCCATGAACAGCTGTCCCTTGGTCATTCCACCCTGTCTTGGAGCCAGCTGAGTATGGATGGAACACTCCAAACTGTAAGAAATAAACCTTTTCTTCCTTCCTGTTGGGCATCAGATATTTTGTCTGAACAGTGAGAGAAAAATAACCAAGACACACAGGATTGCTATTCTAGCTTCTATAGGATCCATGTAAAGGTGAGAAAACGTACAGATTGAGATCATTGCCTTCTAAGCATTTGCAGATTTAATACTGTATTTTCACTGACCTTTAAGTGCTTGTTAGTGAATATAGATGTCTCTGGGTTTCATAACTTTGTTTGGAATGCAGTTAGATTTTAGGTGTGTCCCATGCAGGCAGGCAGTGGATTTATGTTCACGGCATGGGGCTGTACAGCCTGGATGACTTTGCCCAGCTCTAAGTCCGTGTTTCATATGTCACTGGTCCCTTTATCACTCTTGACACCATGCAGGTATTGTCACTCTTGTTACAGTTTGTATCTAGTAGTCTCCCCAAAGCCTCATGCAGTAGGTGGGGCTTCTGGGAGTTGCTGGATCTTACAAGTATGATACTGGGATTAAAGGTGTGTGGTGCTGTAATAGTCCACTGATTGGTGTAGCATAGTCCAGGGTGTGGCCAGTAGGTTTATACCCTGAGTGGAATAAAAGGGACAGGGAGGTCCACTGGCTGCTGCCTGCTGCCTGTCCTGCTGTGGACATTTTTCCCTCTGTGCCCTGGAACAGCTGACTAGGGACTGAAACTCTACACACTGTGAGCCAAAATAAACCTTTCTTCCTTTGACTTTCAGGTGCTGGGTAGTTTATGTCACTCGTGAGAAAAATTAAGACACAATGAAGATGTGGACAGGGTTTATTATTTATCCTCTGCATTCTGAATGGTCCAGAGGGGTCTTTTAAATTGATGACAGACCACCAGGTTCTCAGAGTTTTCTTCCTGGATGTAGGGATTTCCAAACAGAACTCCATGTATGACTTCTCACTAGCTGGCTTTATTCCTGGATGAGTAACAGATACCTTCTGAGGTAGATGCAGCAGCTCCACTTCATAATTTTTGAAGTTCTGTGTGGAATTCTAATGACCTCTCACCTCATTAATAGTGTAAAGGATACACAAAGGTTAGAAATTTCTCTGCTTCTAGAAAGAAGAGAACATCCAGTGTCTACTTAATGTTAATCTGAGAAATTCTGGAATGAAGACATAGTCATAGCTATTTTCTTTGTCACACAGACACAGTACTCAACACCATCAATTTAGAGGAGGAAAGGTCTATTTTGTTGCGTGTTTCAGTAGTCTCAGTTCTTGCTGGCTCTAAGAAAGGGCAGTGTGGCACAGGGGCATGGCAGGTGGAAGCTGCCCGAAGCTGCCCATGGCATGGGAGACAGGAAGCAGGGAGAGAATTGGGCAGCAGGAGTGGGAGATGGACCCGCCCAGGCCACACCCCCAGTGACCTGCCTCCTCCACAGGCTTCTCTTCCCTACACCACATTTAGCTATAAACTCATCAGTGCTCCAGCCCACCGAGGGGTGTCACATTTTGGTGATCCAATCACTTCCTGAAAGTTCCACCTGTAAGTGTATATGCAGCTTTAGGGGATATCTAGATATGAATCATAGCAGATATGTTGTCATAAAAACAGTTCAAGAAACTTAAGTAGGCAATGAAAACCCAATGGAAAGGATGTCTGTCTCCAGAAGTCTTCTAACCTGAAGGGAAAATGCAAGGTCAAATAAAGAGATTAGAAAAACTTTCAAATATTGCATGGCAGTGTTTCACACCAGTTCTGAAATAACAACAGTGATAGATAAATTGCAAACATTTAATTCACTCATTTTACATCTACTAACACTTCTCACCAATGGAAAAAATCTTCGGTCACACCGAAAGATGTGTGTAATTACTCAGCTCTTCCAACACCACCTTTCTCTTATCATCACTGCAATCTGCTTGACTGAGCTGCAGGCCTCAGGATTAGTGTTAGTCTGAAGGAACAGAGCACATGGATATCACAGTTCTGTGAAAATCTAGAAGCAGCACAGCCTCAGAAGTGTTAATTCATGTCTGATATTTCCCTGGGGAGGAGGGACGGTGAGAATTACCCTGACCTCTACATAGCCAGATTCCAAGTCCAATGCAGAAAATGCAGGGTCACCCTGCAACCAAAGCAATGTCCCTTGCTATGAGTGTTACAGAAAAACTGTTATCAAACCAAATGGAAGACTCTGCACCAAGGAATCTAGAAGGCAACTGTTTACTATGCTAGTGGGCTGATGGGAATCTCAGTTCCAAATCATCAGCACTGAGGCAGTTTGGGGTTCAGTTTAAATACAACTTACAAGCAGGAAGTACAAGGTATTTCATGATTGGTTATGTGGATAGAATTAAGGCATATACTCTAAATACATTTGCTTAAAAGGAATTATTGAAAAATTATCTCTGTGTGCATTCACAGTGTCAACAAACTACCGTCAACAGCAGTGGTGACAGTTGACATCCTTACCTAGTGGTATGGTTTGGGTCTGGGATCTTTCCTCCAAACAGCTCTTGGAGACAGGGCTTGTGGGACAGCTGGGTCATGGGACCCCTGCAGCTGACCTGCTGGTAGGAGGTGGGGCCTGGTCAGAAGAGGTGGATCATTAGGGGGCATGACCTAAAAGGTCTTTCCTGACTCCTCCCTTCACTCTGCTTCCAGGCCACCATGATGTGAGCAGCGATGCTGCTTCTGTGCTTAAGCCTTCCAAACATGGTCTGAAACCGTGTGCCAAAATAACCCTCTCCTCCTCTAAGTTGTGGGTATTAGGTATTATGCTCAGAGATGAAGAAAGTGACTAAGATCCATGAAACTGAAGGATGCAGAAATGAAGGTACAGGTGCTATTATGAGAATGAAGGTTGAATAAATAAAACCATCTTCTTCTAGGGACAAAATTACTTCTCAGTGCTTTAACCACATGATTGCATCCTTAAAAAGCAAACTGCAAGAAGGTTGGATTTACTTTCATATTTTTATTAGTAAAATTGGTTACTTTTTACTGGCAAATAGGAACCACTTTGAGGTTTCTCTCCACTCCCCATTTTCCATTCCTAGGGGCGCAGTCTAGTCTAGGACTAGGAATCTTACAGTGTGCTGGACGAATGGCCACTGTGTTTGGCCCGGTTCCTTTAGGTGTGGTCGCTGGGGATGCCGTGGACCCTGAACCGATACAGACAGGTATACTGTGGGTGTCCCCAGTTGCTAAGGATTTTCAGTCTCACACATAATAAGGATTCAGAAATTTCATGCTGAAAAGAAGAAAAGAAACAAGTGATAATGAATCCATCTCAGAGAATTATAGTGAATGTGGATAGTGAATCTTACTTCATAACTTCCTCTAACACAGGCTTTTCCAGACACCTGTCTACAGGATGAGTGAGTGCACTACCAGCAGGAACACGGTGGTGGGGAAGACAGAGTAGTGGTCTAGATGCCCTGGTGCTGCTCTCCACCATGGTCACCATGCTACAGGAGAGCAATCTATGAAACCAACTGTGAGTCCAAATGGGTGAGCCCAAGTGTGTAGGAAAGGCAATTAAATGTTACACTTGGATGATATGTTCAATTCTAACACTCGTGCTCATCTTGGTGTCTGCAGGAATTACTTCCAGGGCCCCCATTGATAGCCAAGTCCTTAGATGCTGGGTCCAGGATGGTATAGTGTGTGTATGGAACCTCCCCAGATTCTCCCTCCCCAGCTCCTCATGAGGTTGAAATCGCCCCAGCGAGGGAGCTGATCACATCTTACCAGTTCCGGGGGCGCTCATTACCTGTAGGTCAAATGTCTGGACGGTGGCTTCTGTCTTGTTATAGATGAACCGACCTAGGAAAACTTCTTCTCCTTCACATCTTTTCATAAGACCCTGTAAGGAAACCAACAGGTAACAAGATTGTGATATGTAAATTTTCACTTAAAATAAATGGATGTCAGCTGGGCATGGTGGCTCATACCTGTAATCCCAGCACCTGGAAGGCTGAGGTGGGAGGATCGTTGCAAGTTCGAGACCAGCCTGGGCTACAAAGTGAGCTCAAGGCCAGCCTGAACTGCATAGCGAGACCCCATCTCAAAAAAAAAAAAAAAAATAATGGATGTTGAAGGGAGGGGAGGGGGTGGGGGGGGGAGGAAAGAGGCACCAAGATGCTTCATGCACAGGTGCAAATCCTCTGGGGTGAATGTGATCAATATGTATGTCTCAATAAGGGCCAGGGATTTAGCTCAGTGGCATAAGTGCCTGCCTGGCGAGCATGAGGTCATAGGTTCAATTCCTGGTACAAAAAAAAATTATATCAATAATAAAATTGGTACAATAATAAAAAAATTGTAACAAAATATAAATGGATATAGTTGTGGCTCACATGATACTGTGTGCCCACCAGGAGCCAGGGCTGTGCTAGAGCCAGGGCTGGCCAGTACACCACAAAGACATGAACTTTGGGGGTTAGTGAGACTGAGGACTGGTCATAGGACCAAGGGGACAGGTGATGTCTAGTCAGCTGGTTAACCAGGTGGATGATAACTAGCTAGCTGGGTAAGTAAGCAGACGGATGATAACAGAGACACGTAATAAATGGGTGCTAGGAAGATACAAGAAAAATAGATAATATATAGAGAGAAGATAGGTAGACAGTAAGTGACAGGAATGTGGAAAGAAAGATTATAGGGAAAGATAGGAAAAGATAGAAGAGACATAGGTGAGACTATTTACACTTTTGATGAAAAGACTGGGAATGTTTTAGTGTGAAAAATATAGTAAAACTGAGCAAATTAAATAAAAAAAGCAACTATTTTCCAAAACTTCAAAAATTACATTAAAAATAATATTCAAATATACCCTATGGCTCAACTAGGAACAATACTGTTCACATTCACCACAGAAGTGCTGAATATGATTGAAACAGAAAGAAGATAAAGCTCCTAGCTCCTTTGACATGGGAAGCATAGTTTAGCATGAGGCCCAGCAAGTCTGAGCTCAGGTGTTTAACCCCAGGAACTAAAAACCCAAGTCTACACAAAAACTTGCGGACAAATGTTCACAGCACCATCATTCATAATAGGCAGGAAGCTGGAAATAGCTACACAATAACTCCACCAAAGAACTCTACACAAATGAGCCTATGCAAAAATTGCACGCAAATGTACAAGCTAATCTATTCATAACAGAAAAACAAACACAGCTACTAACGCTTGCTCCAGTATGGGTGAATTTGGAAAATATGACACTAACTGAAAAGATCTGTCCATGCATAGCAGGCCACACGTGATGATTTTATTTATATAAAACATGCAGAACAAGGGCCAGGGATGTAGCTCAGCGGCATAAGCACCTGTCTGATAAGCGCGAGGTCGTGAGTTCGATCCCCAGTGCCCAAAAAAAAAAAAAAAAAAAAAAAAAAAGTGCAGAACGGGGTAATATTTGTGGAGCCAAAGTAGATTGGGGGTTGCTAGCTGCTGGGGTGCAATGGGCGAATAAGAGTGACGGCTAAGGGGCTTGGGGTTCTTTTTGTGCTAGACATTAAAAGTTCTAAAACTGGGGGCTGGGGATTTAGCTCAGCAGCATAAGTGCCTGCCTTGCAAGCGTGCAGTAGTGAGTTCGATCCCCGGTACTGATAAAAAATTCTCAAACTGATGGTGGGATAAATGCACAGAGCCCTGAACAGTGCGCTTCATGTGGGTGAGAGAATGCTACATAAATTCTCTCCGTAGCCTGGTTTTGGAAAAAGCTACCACGGTATTAGGAATATGGGGGGGGGGGGCACGGAAGGGAACTCATCTTCATTGCCACTGAGGGCGTCTCCACCAACACTGAAGCAATAATGGTGAAAGCAAATACGCAGGCAAATATTAAACGTGCAGCTAAAGCTGTCTCTGGAGGAAGTGCTGGGACAATGGGGACAGAGGGACAGGAGACAGGATCCTCTGTTCCATTAAAACCTCAAGGAATATTGAGCATTTGTGTTGTGTGTATAAAACTTTGACAAAAGCAAACAATAAAATTAAATGCCAGAAGCCCCGCCATCTAACCCTTTCACTATGTAGATGACAGCAAAGGCCAAGAAAGCAAGTAGCCATGTGGTGGAGGACTAGGAGGGCCCAGCTCCCAGCACTGGCCACCACCTGTCACCACCCCTCTGAGTGCCCGACTCAGACAGTGTCTCACATGGACAGAAAACTCCTTGGGTGCACTGGAGATGTTTCCCGATGGTGACACCTTCTCTGAGATGTGCTCCATGGTGACAGACATTGGGATGATCTTCCGGGCAAGCCTGATTAGGATATGGCCCTGGGAACCCGGAAAGGCCCAGCACTTTCCAGGGTGGACATCTGGCTGGAAAGAAAAGACTGAATGAATCTCTCGCGTGATTTTGCAAATCCACTGTCAGAACACTAGTCAGCTAATCACTACTGCTGGCAGGGCTGTCTGTGCCTACAAGATACAGGCAGTATTCTGGAACCATTACGACACAGGAAGTGTGTCCATGATAACCCTAGCTTTGATCTGCCAGAGTGCTTTGTGCCTCTGTCAGCTGGAGACCTTTATCCTGTGAGCACTGCTTTCCTTCATGGCTTGAAGCGGACCCCGAGCTGCTAGGTGCAGCTGGAGGATATGTGTGGTGGTGAGGCTGTTGGTGCTGCTGAGGACCATGATGGTAATGGTGATGGTAATGACGATGGTGATGGTGGTGGTGATGGTGACAGTCATGGCGGTGATCATAGCCTCGGCGGAAGTGATGGTAGAGGGAGTGATGAGATGGTTGTGATAATGGTGGTGGTGGTGGTGCTGATTATGCTGGGTGGTGGTAACCATGGTGATGGCGATGGCAATAGAGAGGATGGTTCTGGTGGTGTGTGAGCTGACAATGATGGTGGAGGAAAAGCAAGCCCTTCCATTTTCCAGGTCTAAACTATGAGTACAACCTGATACAGGAGTGTGGGTTTGTCCCTATGGTGACTTCTAAATTCATACCAATTTCACATTCATCAACGTTAGTTAAGAAGTGTTCTACTGTTGTGTTTCCCACTTCCTTTGGCACTGAACCCAAAGGTTCTGTTGAAATCTTATCTGGAAATTGTTCTTGCTATAATTGGCTTAATGAAACCGTATGTCCTGAGTAGCACTTAACACAGTACTGGCTCTTAAAGGAACAGCACTTCCAGTGTCTGCAGAATGACTGAAGTTTTGAGTCTATAAGGGAGGACACAGAAGCAGTGTAAATGGAAGGTGTGGGATGTGTATGTTCTGAGAAACAGATCTTTAAAGAGTAAGTAATGATAGAATAACCAATCACCGTTTACTGGTCATCAAATAAGAAATAATCCACATGGTGTAATGACTACAAAAATACAAGAGTATTTCATATTTGGATGCTCTTATAGTACCTGCATTTTAAGCATTAATATTTTCTGATAGATAATAATGAAACCATAAAATAGACATGAGTTAATTTCATTCTTTACCTGAAGAATGATATCTGGAGGCATTTCATGATTCAGGAACCCTATCCCATGCCAATAGAGTTTTGTCTTATTATTTATGTAACTTTCCGAGGTTTCAGATTCAACAATGGAGGCCCCTACAATATAAAACACTTTTTAAAATTTAAAAAACACACACAGCTCAATATATATCAATTGGGTTTTAATGCTGTCTTTGGAAAAATTATTGCTTGGAAAATTATAAACGAGGCAAAATTCATAGTCGCGGAATCAGAGGGAAAAGATGACTATTCATTTCCACAGAAATTCTGTCATATTGAGCAGGTCTTGTGGGCCTTGCACAATTTTACCAAATTTCATAAATCGATATTGTGATAAAAATTCGAATTCTGCAACAATTAATTTGGAGCTGGAAATAGTATACAGATTATTATCAAAAAATACATATGGTACTCTATATTTTCACAGCTCATGTGATAAAGAAGATTTCCTGCATCCCTGTTCACTTAAAAACAGACAGTGAACCAAATGTCATGAATGACCTACAAGTTACATTGATAACAACTTACTGAACTATGATTTTAATCAAATAAATATAAAATATATTTATAATTAATATCCCTTCAGATTATTTTAGAAAGAAAATGTGTTTTATACCCCAGTAGTAACCACTTCCTCAAATTTCATTTGAGTAATGCAATATAATATTAAAAGCATATGTACTTGACCAAAATTTGATTTCCAGAACTTTCTGTAAGATTGCCTGAAATAGTAAATCTGAACACAGGCTTGCTAAAAATTTAGTCTTTAGGCTCTCCTGTAAATTTAATGTTAGATAAATAAAGACTAACTTTTTAGTAATAGTCCAGTCTCATGCAATAATTAGGACATAGTATCCTAGGAAAATTATTTGCTATTCATCTAAAATTCAAATTTAATGAAGCATTCTTTCTTTTACACAATACCTCTATGAAACATACTTATTTTTCGAGACTGGTATTATCTGCTTACCCAGTTAAAACTCCTGCTCAATTGATTGGACAGGAAATAATTTTTCACATACTAATGTGGAGACATAACCCCCATGGAAGCTTGTCCCGAAATACTGCATTATGAGGCTTTTATTTTATTTTTTGTCTTTTTGAGACAGGGTCTCACTATGCAGTTCAGGCGGGCCTTGAGCTCACTTTGTCGCCCAGACTGGTCTCAAACTTGCAACAATCCTCCTGCCTTAGCCTCCCGAGCACTGGGATTACAGGCATGAGCCACCACGCCCAGCTTCATTATGAAGTTTTTAAATACTTTAAACATATTAACTTTTTTATTCATTCAGTTTTGTTAAATCGACTTTTTAAATAATTCAGACATCTAACTCATCAAAAGTGTACTGCAACTTTAGAATAGTTAATTAGCCCCCAAAGAAGCCCATAGCAATGAACAGTTCCCTACATTTCCCAAAATCCCCTGCTTTGGGCCTAGGCAATCACAGTGCTGCCTCCACAAATCCATCTGCACTGGATGTTCCTTCCTCATAGTGGCGGCCATTTTGAACATGGCTGCCCATCTAGGGAATAGGTTGTTTCCTGTGGTTGTAGTTAGGGCTAACCCTAACTGCTAGTTACTTCCCTAACCTAAGAGTTTCATTTTTTTTTCCCACAAGGAAGATTTTAACTATATATTCATCTTCCCTAATAAATGTAAATTTCCCATCAGAGATGGTTAAGGTGCAAGATTTACAGCCCAAGCTCTTAAGGCTTACTTTTAAATGGAAAATATTGAGAACATTACTTGATTCTTAAAATGACTTTTTACATGAGGCCTTAAAGACTGCTGTTTAGTCATGAATAATACATTTAGTTCACTCTGACGCGTAGGCCTTCGAGTCTGTGATTGGTATATAAGATTTTATACCTTCCCCAGGCTCTGGCTGTCACCTTAGCCTCCTTAGGGTTCTTTCAGACATTTGCTAAATTGCAGTGTGTGCACCAAGAGTCACCTTTGGAAAGCACTCGAGGACAACCACTTCTAATTTGTTCCTTGTTATTGAGACTTACTACTTTTCTCCCTCCAAGATTACCAGAAAGATAAAGAAATTTAAGGAAGTATGAGTCTCGATGTGCAGTTCAGGTTGTTCTTGAGCTCACTTTGTAGCCCAGGCTGGGCTCAAACTTACAACGATCCTCCTGCCTCAGCCTCTCGAGTGCTAGGATGACAGGTGAGCGCCATCCTTTCCTTTCCATACTCATCTTTTTGCGTTTTCTATACAAACTCACCAGCCGACTTCAGGGCATAATCAGCCATCTGCACCTGGTCCTCTCTCAACCTTTTAAGCACGTAATGCACCAGCTGGAACATTTCCTGTACCAATGGCAAGCACAGTTTTCTGTCAATCTCTACCAACCCTTGCGTTTTGACAGCTCACAAAGCAAAGGCCTAGACTTCCCCTAATCTGCAAACTAATGGGGACTGAGGCCTTCCGAGCAGATTTCTAAGCCAGGTTCAGGGGCTCTCCAGGCCTTATGAGGTCCCTCCGAAGCCCTGGCCATGGCACCCCTCGCTCCCTGCAGTTTTGCTGTGTGTTTAACTAGAGCAACCTCCAGTTATTTGAGAAACTTGGCAGCATATGAAACCACAGGACTGCTTATCTCTGCAGTTTTTCATCTGCTCGAATTATCCAGGGACTCTGCAGGGTGCGAGCTTCCCAAGTGGGGTGACGAGTGTGAGCTGTCAGGGAACAGCGACCAGGTAGAGGCAGGCCTTGAGGGCCATGGGTGGTCAGTGTGAGATTTCTGTGCATTTTGGCCTGCAGACCTGCGCAGGGTGCAGGGTCGCCGTGATGGTGGCTGCACGAGGGAGGGGTGAAGTCGTGCTCACTGCTTGGTTTTTTCTTTCTTTCTTTTTTTTGCCATTGACAGTTAAACCCAGGGCCTTTGTCCTGTGCTACATCCCCATAAATTCTGAGACAGGGTCTCGCTGATTTGGTAAGTTGCCCAGGCTGGCCTCAAGCTTGTCACCCTCCAGCCGCAGCCTCCCAGAGTGCTGGGATTAGAGGTGTGCGCCCCTACACGGCATTTAGCTCAAGGATTTTTCTCACTGTTTTGCCTGACCCAGGTGCCCGTGAGCCCCAAGGCACTTGATGTGAAGGGGATGGGTGATTAGGAACCCCTAGCAATCTCAGGGGTAGATAGATACTTGGAGGTTCGCAGTGGTCTTTGTCTTTGATTTTTACCGGGCAGTGAAGCAGAACCGGGGTTTACTGGGTGGGGAGGAGATGTCACTGTGACAGCCTGGCTTTTGTGACCAACATTGATCAGCCTGCCCTGCTCAAGGGACAAGAGCTTGCTTAAGTCATGGCCCAGTGTCAGGGGCACCAAGAGCTCCCACCGACGGGGACCAGCACCCAGGAGCACTGTGCCTAGCACCCACGCCTGCCGCCCCCCAGCCCGCCTTGCCTCGTCTGGCACCTCGGCGTTGTCCTGGTCCCGTGTGACATCCCTGAGGCCACTGTCCCTGGGGCCACTGCCCCCCTCAGCAAACGTGCCGTCCTGCATGTCCCTAAGCAGTGCCTTCAGCGTGGCAATCTGCTCCGTCAGAACCAGTATCTCTCGGAAATTGTTCTCCAGGGTCTGGCTCTCCTTCCTGCATGCAGACAAGCTCGAGGTCAGCGGGCCCAGTGGGGGGACTCTGCTCTGTCCACTGGGAGCCGGGGCTGCGCTCCACTCTCCCTCCTGGAGGGCGGCTGGGTGCTGTGGAAGGGACCTATTCTCTGGGGAGGAGCAGGGTTCTGTGGGTGTCAAGCGTCACAGGTCACCAGGTCCACAGGTGACACCTTCAGTGGTGGCCCAGTGCCTGGCTAGCTCTGCCCTCCTTGTCGCTCTGCTGGGTGACCTCACATCTGTGGGTCTTAAGTTCTGAATGTCACACTTCCCCTAATGGGGACAGCTTGCATTCCAAGTGCAACACAGGACACTGGCCTGGTGTTGAGGGAAAGACTCTGGGCCCAGCCGGGGACCAGCTAACTTTTTAGGGCATTACATTCTACATGCGCGAGATTTCACCTTCCAAAAATTCAGTGTACTACTCTGTGGGTTAAGAATTACTGATAGAGAGCATAAGAAAATGTTAAACAGGCAGGCATTTCCCTGTGTTGAAAAAAAATAAGCCCTACTTGTCTAGCTTCTCCCCGTAAGTTGTAAAACAGTATATCTTTAAAGCCGAGAAAACATAAACATTTCAAAGAAATCAACACTATTAAATTTCAGTGTGATCTAATAGTTTTTATTTCATGTAAAAAGCCAGTAATGAAATAGGATCATATTTGTGATGGTGTGTCCTAGACCACTCTGAAAATGAAATACATTTTGGAGTGATTTTGATAGCTTCATAACTCCATTAGTACATGGATAGACTCTATTGTATTTAAACTTTGGCCCAAAAATGGTTATTTCACATTTCTTTATGATCATGGTTAATACTGAGAGTAAATCGAATGTGTATTTCCTTAAAGAATAATCCCTAGGAGTAGAAATATATAAAAGGGCCAGTAACTTCCTAAAGTAATAAAACTATTATTATTTTGATTAAAAAGTATATGTGCTTACTCTAAAGAAAAAAAAATCACCATTGGGGGCGCATGCCTGTAATCCCAGCACTCAGGAGGCTGAAGCAGGAGGATTGTTGCAAGTTTGAGACCAGCCTGGGCTATAAAGTGAGCTATGAAGTGAGCGCAAGGCCAGTCTGACCTGCATAGCGAGACCCTGTCTCAAAAAAAGGAGGAGGAGGAGGAGGAGGAGGAGGAGGAGGAGGAGGAGGAAGAAAACCACCAGTTGTGGTGTATACCTGTATTTATAGCACTCTGGGAGGCTGAGGCAGGAGGATGCCAAGTTCAAGCCCAGCCTGGGCTTGGTTAAGTGATTTAGCAATATCCTGTCTCAAAATAAAAAATAAGGAAGAACTGGGGATGTGGGTTAGTGTGGAAATCTTAGGTTCACTCAGTACCACAAAAAGAGGAGGAAAAAAATGAAGATACACAGATGTTGGTGGCCAACAGGAAATGCCTGGGGAAAGTGCCCTTGCCTGTGTGTAAAGGTGAGGCCCGAGGAGTAACATGGAGAACAGATTTCAGTTTTAAATTCTACAAAATCCTCCCAGCCTGTGGGACCCACCCGAGGGCGGCAGGAATCTCACTCACTTGAGAAGTTCTAGCTGTTCCCTGGGCTTGCGAAATCTGGCCTGGAGAGAAAGACAGAGATCAGTCACTCTGAATCCTGCCTGTCCTTGAGGGCCTCCTCCTCCTCGTAGGTCACCCCTGGACCCTGGCTGGACACTGGAGAAGGTGGCTGGGCCCGGCAGTGCACCCCTTGCTGGCAGTTTCCTTGGCCTGGCGTCCAGTGCTCACCAGAGCACCCGGCGCTCTGCCGGGAGACAAGGTTTCCTGCTTCTGGGGTCAGGAGGGGTGATAGTACAGAGCCAGAGGGCTGGAGGGAAGGCGGGCATCCAGGTGGTCTCCGGGAACAGCAGGGACACTGGAGGAGAGGCTGAGCCCTGTTCTAGGGCAGAGCTGGACTCCTAGCACTATCAGGAGGCAGTGGGCTTCAGCCCCAGCTGACAAAGGCTCCTGTTTGCACAGGTGGCCGCTGAGCCAGGGAGGGGGCAGAAAGGAGCTGAAAAAGTCACTCTTCTGGACACACCGGATGGATGTTACCTCTGCGGAGGTGTCACTAAGCAGACAGGACCCAGGACATGGGTGTGGGTGGTGGGGAGCCAGCACTGCAAGTAGGGAGTGGCCTAGCTGTGCTTCCCACCTTCGGGGTCCCTGCCCCTTGGACCCTCCGCTGGGTGTCAGCCTGCCTCCTGCTCCCAACTTCCTGAAGCCCTGTACCCCGTCCCCTCAGCCTGCCATCAGCCTTGCATGTGGTCATGCGTGGTCACACACTTGCATATGCACACACCACACACTTGTATGCTCTTGCACACACCCACATGCTCTCACACACATGTATCCCCCCCCCAACACACACACACAGATTTAGCACCTGCTCTGACATCTAGAGTCAGTGTTATTACTGGGAGCAAAGGGGAGCAGAGGGGTCCTGAGTATGTGGGACCCCAAACAGAGCGGACAGAGGTCAGAGGAGAGGAGAGAGAACAGGATGTCATCCCCTGGCCCCAGGACCCCAGGATTGGTGGTCAGCAACGCCCACAGGGGACTGGCCCAGACATGTCCACTTCCAACCTGGGTCACTGCCATCTACCTGGCTGGGTGCAGGAGAGGGTGCTGGTCAGGGCGCAGGAACACCAAGGAGGCACAGGCTGGGTCTGAGTCAGGCCAGCGCTTGCCTTGAGCCACCAGCCCCAAATCCCTCCTGTGTGCGGAGGGCACCCAGGCGCTAGCACTCTTCCCTCACGGGACACTGCTTACATTTCTGGAGCACAAGAGAGAACCTGGAGCATCTATGTGGGTTCCTGGGGCTGCACGTGGGGGGCCTGGAAACACCACACGCTGCCCTCAGCTCTGCAGGCCAGAAGTTGGGGGCCGAGGGGTCCACGGTGACCCTGCCTTCTGAAGGCCCCGGGAGATGGCAGTTCTCTGCCTGGCTTCCTTGATACATAGCTGGTCCCTTATCTCTGCTTCTTCCTCTCACTCCTCATTTTCTTCTGTGAGGACTCCTGCCTTTGGTTTAGGATTTGCCTGGTCATCTCAGGATGCTTAATTGCATCTGCAAAGGTCACATCCCCAGGTCCTTGGAGTCAGGATGCAGCTTGGGAAGGTCACCTTTCAATTCTCCACGGTGACACTGGCTCGGGGGAGCCGCTTGGGGGCAGTGTTGCCTCCTGTGTTTGAGCTCCTCCTTCCGGAGTCCGGTTAACCTGGAAAGTTCCCTCCTCTGGTTAATCCGCTTTTCTCTTGCAAAGAATCTGCGGTGGGCAGCTTACTACGCTCAGATACAGTGCTGAGAACACAGGTGTGTGATGATGGCATCAGAATGCAACGCAGCGGGGGACAGAGGACAAATTGTTTTGCTTTTTTTTTGTCTTCAGCTGAGCAACTTAATTTCTTGTGCTGTCCTCAACTCTTCCCCGTGACAGAGATGTGGATTTGGGAGCTTAGGCTGCTGGATACAGACTCTATTTTCTCCTGTTGTAGTTTCAGTTGGAGTGAGCTGCTTGTCAGTAAGGGCAGAGTTTCCAGTCTATTTCTTTTTTCTGTTGTGGCTTTGAAAGAATGGTATTTGAAAACATTCCTGGATTTGGTGATACATGAATTTGGAAGTTCTTTGAATAGTAAAAATTTCTGTTTGGTATTCGAACTCAGAACCTCGCACTTGGCAGGCAGACGCCATGGCACGGAGCTATATCACTGGCCCATCTGTAATTTTAAAACATTTTTATTTCAGGAACTGGGGATTTAGCTTGGCGGCATAAGCGCCTACCTTGCAAGCACTCAGTCGTGAGTTCGATCGTGGGTACTGATATTAAAAAAATTTTATTTTGCATCCCAAAGTATTTCTGGCTTGTTCTACTATAGAAATCATCCATCCATCTATCTATCTGTCCCTCTGTTCATCCATCCATCCATCTACCTATCCACCCACCTGCCCATCTATCTAGAGGACAAAGAGAGGTAAGTGAAGAAAAAAAAATGAGCATTGGAGAAGTGAGAATGTTAAATGCATGGGACTGGAACATACATGTGCTTTAAATTCTGAGATGCCATTAGCTATGAGCTGTGAATTTGTTTCTGAGCATTACAGCAACCAGTTTGGGTGGGGAAGAAGGGTGAGGAATGTTCTAACTTCATAGCATCCACACTGCAAAACAAAAGAAAAATGGCCGGTGGGAGGCTGAGGCAGGAGGATCCTTGTGAGATCAAGGCCAGTCTTGGCTACAAAGTGAGTGCAAGGCCAGCTTGAACTGCATTGTGAGACCCTGTCTGAAAAAGACCAAAAACAAAAACAAAAGAAGTAAAAAAGAAAAGAAAAAAGACACCAAAGTATCACAGAGATGCAAGACTGAGGATGTAGCTCAAGAATAGTGCACACGCCTAGCAGGCCTAAGGCTCTGGTTAGAGGAAGAGGAAGAAGAGAGGAGGAGGGAGAGGGGAGGGGAAAAGGGGAGAGAGAGGAGAAGGAAAGGCTTGCAGAAGCTGCTCTGTGTCAGGTAGGTCACAGTCCCTCAGGGACACTGCAACTGGTGAGTCAGTATTGATCTAGGAGCCCCTTTGCACGCAGCCCCTTGGGCTGTCAGCTCCGGACAGGCCCAGTCCTCCTGAGCATCAGACACCAGTGCACCAGGCCATGCAGCCTCCCGGGATACAAAGCGTTCCCCAGACGCTGCAGATGGACCAGGTTACTGGCCCTGTCTGTGCTCTCCTGCGAGGCCAGCAGGTACAGCAGGGCTTTGTCAAATCCTCCTGAGGGAGGACCGAGCTGAGGGGAGCAGCTGGGTGCAGCCACAGCCACAGCTCCTTCCACCTCCTTAAATAATGTCCACAGTGGCACCATATTTCATTCCTTGGAACCTTGTCCCTTGGCACCAGGAATTGAGCTGGGACAAATTTGGCAACCAGGCTCTTAAAAAATTTTCTCAAGCACACTCCTGAAGACATCTGATTTTCATCCGTGTAAGTCACAATACTTGCTGTACCCCCCAAAATGACATTTATCCTTAATATGGGGTTTCTGGTATAAACCAGTTAAACGCAGAGCCAGCCATGTGCATCGTGGCCTTGACCTGCTCCTGGTGATGTTGTGTCTGCGGTTGCACCAGGGTTTGTCCTCAGCAAATGGCAGGGAGCAGATGGCAGGCACGGGCGTAGTGAGCTCCGGGCGTGCATTTCCGCTTGCAGCTGGGCAACCTGAACTGCTGGCCTCAATGCCCCCACCTAGCTGCTAGGCTACCGATGAACTTGGTGATGCTTTCATTAAATGGTCTTTGTGAGGAGAAAGGGTGTATGGGGTTTCTTATTTTCCTGTTCTCCGTGGTGGGAGATGGAGAGGAATATCTAACTTGGAGAAAAGCTTATCAAGTCCTTAAGTTCAATATAAAAAGATCCTCTAAAAATCACAACTTCTTTATCCTTCTTCTAGTACATGGGTCCTAAGTAAACAGTCAAGGATGAGTGAATGGATTTAGCCACAAGGATGGTTATAATAATACAAAAGATTAAAGACGAATTAAATTGTTCAGGAAGAAGTATTTATGGGGTATGTAATTATAGTTATGGAATAACTACAATTGAGGAAGTCCTGTCATAAACCGATATATAAAGCAAGGGATCTACCGTTAGGTAAATGAACAAATATAATCCACAGGCAGCATCCACTGCACGTGGCTTGGGCTCTGGGAAGGTCCTGCACAGAGCTGTAAGGCATGATGGGTCCCTGGTGTTCCTGACAGAGCTCTTCGTCTGTGCAAAAACTAGAGTCACAGTGGTAAGACAGGCCCATAGCTCAACCTCAGTCTCACAAAGAAAACCATCCCAAGGCACAGCCTCTGGCATCTTTGAAAGGAAAAAACCATCCCAGAGTCTGCTGATCGATCTGAAATTAAGAGATGGAAGAGGATGATTCTTGAATTTGGGTAGAGAACAATAAAATCATTCATTCACTCATTTTTTTATTCATGTAGCTACTTACTGAGTGTCCCTGCACTTGGGGACGATTTTAGGATCTGAGCCAGCTCACTACCCATTTTATTTTAGTAGGGGGGAAGATGACAGGAAGAGTCACAGTAAACCAGTGAGCATCTGAGGTAAGAAGACAGAGGTGACATGTGGGAGTCCCTGTCTCCAGACATCATCACAAGGGGTCTCAGCAGGCCCAGGCCGCTCTGGAGAAGGATTTGAGCTGGGCTGAGTGTCTGAGCAGGCCCGCCTTGCTGAGATCTAGGGTGGAACATGTGGGCAGAGGGCTTGCCCGTGCCCAGGCTCTGATAAGAACTGCCAGAAATCCATGTGCATAATGGGGTATTCGAGGGCAGCAGAGGGAGGGAGAAAGGGAGGTAATGGTGGGGCTGGGAAATTGGAAAGGGTCAGATCTGAAAATCCAGGGAGGAGTCGATGGTGTAGCTCAAGTCTGAGGCCACAGAGACGGAGAATTATTCTTCCTTGAGGGAGCGCATAAGACTTCCAGCTGAACAGATGAGGCCCACTCAAACTGTGGGGCCCAATGTCCTTTATTTAAAGTCTATTGATTTAAAGGTTAATCATATCGAAAAGGTTAATCAGGCCGGGCAAGGTGGTGTCCTCCTGCATTCTCACTGGGAAGACTGAGAAAGGATCACCATGAGTTCAAGGCCAGCCTTGGCTACCCTGTCTCTCATAAGAAAAAAAAAAAAAAATTGGGGGGCTGGAGATTTAGCTCAGCGGCATAAGCACCTGCCTTGCAAGCAGGCAGTTGTGAGTTTGATCCCCGTTACTGATGAAAAGGAAAAAGACGAAAAAAAAAATTTTAAACCAACATCTACAATGGTACTTAACCAAACATCTAGGCACCATGGCTTAGCCAAGCTGACACAGCCATTACCATGAGGGGTGGATGACAGCCAGCCAGGCAGGAATCAGAGCTACCACTGTCCACCCAGCATGCTGGTCTCTGTCTTCCTGGGGATGGCCTGCCTGTCAGGCCCCAGCTGCCAAGGGTCTGGGTCCTGGTCTTTGATGCGTGGACCCTAGCGGTATAGGGGTCATCTCACGATTACCTCCCCTGTGGGCGTCTTCTCCGGGACCTGGGGGTCCTGGATTCTCAGTATAAGGCACACTAAGCTGGGTCTTCAAGACTTGGAGTAATTCCAGGCATCAACCTATGGCCTCCAGAGGCGTGCTCTCCAGTGGCCTGGGCTGCCGATGGGGACACAGATGTGCAGCCTCCTTGTGGCAAGATGCACAGGAATGAAAGAATTGCAGGTGGGCTGGGACACATAGGAAAAAGGCGTGAGGCAGGTTCCTGGTCAGCCAGGTCCCAGGTCATCCACTGGGCGAATGGAACTGCTGCATGCTAAAGGCCGGTCCCTCTGTCTGTCCCTTCTTCTCACACAGCAATGATGACTCGGCTGCCGGCACTCTGTTCCCTTCTTCCCTTGAGCTTTTGAGATCTGTGCATAGATGAGATTCACTATGCAACCAGGGGAAGGGACGTGGGGTTCGATGGACCAGAAGGACAACGTTCAATGGCCAGTCTCGGGGGAAGCCTACCAGGCCAGAGAGGAGCATTGTACAGACCGGGATGTCAGGAAGGGGGTCAAGGAAGACAACTCCTCATCCCTCCTGTGCTGCAGCTTTGTGTGGGGAGCCTGCACAGGTTAGAGGCCTTGGAGAATGGTTAGGGCTTCTTATCTGTAACAGCTCCTCAAAGAACTCCATCTCCTGTGCCAATTCTGTTAGATATTCTCATACAAAGCAAAGATCACACACAGGAAGCTGGATTCACCTTGTGGCATCTTAAACTTTAAACGAACAAGAGAGGCAGGGATAGCTTAATAAAAGGTTACCTGGTAATGATACAGCCTTGTACCATATTCTGCAAACATAGCATATAATTGTTCGTATTTCTGAGGCATCGCTGTTTCTTTAAGCCACTGATGATTTCGGTGTCCTGTCAAAGAAACGAGAACAACTCTGATTAAAGAGCATATTTGGAAAGCTTTATAAATCTTTACCTGTGTTAATAGTGACTCTGTAAGGATGGAGGAGTAAGACAGATCCTTCCCAGTCCCTGGGAGATAACGCTGCAGGTCTCTGGAAAGAGCAGAGCAGAAAACCACAGACAGGATCCCTTATTTTGGCATCTGAAACTCGGCTGGGCAGCAGATTTGAGGTGATGGAAGAAAGAATCAGTAAATTGAAACACAGGACTACTGATATTTTTAAATCTGAGGAGCAGAGAGAAAAAATAAATGAAAGCGCACAGAGCGTCAGAGAGCCGTGGAAGACCACGCCGAGGCCCACGAGGGGCACGGTGGCAGTACCTGGTGGAGGGAGGAGAGAGAAAGGGACAAAGAACACTGGAAACAATGCAGTTTAAACTTTCTGAATTTGGTGAAAAGCTCAAATCTATAAGAAACCCAATAAACTCCCAATGGAACAAAGATACCCATATTCATATTGTACCATGTTATAATCATACACAAATGACCGAGAAACATGAACACAGTAAAGAGGAAATGCTTTGTCATGAACAAAGGACTCTCAGTCATCCTGTCCTTTATACTTTCAACAGAAACCTCAATAGCCAGAAAGCAATGGGATGACGTATTTAAAGCGCTGGAAGAAAAAAAAAATGAAATTGACAATTGAAAGTACCAAAAGAGAAAACAAAGAATTTTATTCCAGCAAAACTAACTTTCTAGGACCAAGGATTTAGCTCAGCAGTGTAAATGCCTGCCTGGCAAGCACAAGGTCGTGAGTTAGATCTCCAGTACCAAAAACAAAACAACAAAAACAAAAACTGACCTTCCAAAGGAACAAAAGAATATTAAGATATTTCCAAATAAACACAACCTGAGAGAGTCATTACCACTAGACTTGCTTTATAAACAAACGTTAAAGGAAGGTCGTCAGGCTGAAGTAAAGGTATCCAAAAGATTAACTCAATGCTCTAAAAAAGTAAGTTCTCCAACTGAAGAAACAATATAACTAAGCAGAAAACCAGGTATTATTGTATTTTTAATTGCTAACTCCTTTTTTTTACTTCCTATATGATTCAAAAGACAAATACACAAAAATAATTATAAATGTATGTTAATGAGTATGCAATATGTAATGGTGTAATTACTGACAAAAATATAAAAGGGGCAGAGATGTAGAGGAGCTTAGTGTCTTACTAGTGTGGTTTAGATCTAGAAGGCCCCTCCACAGGTCTCACGTGTTGAGAAGTGCGTCTTTTGGGAGGAGACTGGGTGTGGCCTCATCAGCTGATTAATCCCAAGAAGTTCAGCGCTGACTGTGCTGCAAGGTGAGGCCTGGTTAGAGGCGTCACTGGGGGCGGGGCCTGGAAGAGTCCATCTCCCTCCCTGACTCCTCCCTCTGTCGCTGCTTCCGGGGGCCCCATGAGGTGAGCACCTCTCTTCTGCCAGGCCCTTCCACCGGGCCATTTTAGCCTTGGAGTCAGTTGGCCAGGGGCTGAAAATGGGAATCAAAATAAATTTTCTTTCAGTTGTGGGTATTAGGCATTTCGTCCCAGTGACAAGAAAGTGACTAAGACACAGCTTAAAACTAAGCTGGTATCAAGTCAAACTTTTTTTATAAGCTGAAGATGTCACTTACAGGTTCCGTGGAACCAGAAAGGAAAAAAGGCAATTAAAAGGGCAACAAATCAGTTAAGCACAAAAGGAGGTAGTGGTGGTGGAAATAAACACCAAAAAGTACAAGATAGGAAGAATATGGGGAAGCAGCAGAAGTAGACTCTCTTTAAAAGTAATTAAATGCAATTGGGCTTATTCTCTCAAACAAAAAGAGGAGACCGGCAGAGTAGACTAAACACATGATTTGACTATGTGCTGCTTATGAAAGGCTCCCTGTAGAACTCAGACTGAAAACTTTAAGAAATTAAATAAAAACTATATAAATAGACTGCGAGGCATGATGGTGCATATTGGGAATTCTAGCACTCTGAGAGTCTGAGGCAGGGGCATAATAAGTTTGCTCTTAGCTTGGGCAACTCAGAAACTTAGGAAGAGCACATCTCAAAATTTAAAAGCAAGCACTGCAGTGTCGCTCAAAGTGAAGGTCCTAGGTTTAAACCCCAGTATTGAAAAAAAATCTAAGAAACAATTGAATAATCCACATTTATGAGCTAGAAGACTTCTTTTTGTTAAGATGACAAGAAAGAGCACAGATTCAAAGGAATTCCAATCAAAATCACAACCATGCGATGCTATGGTAATAACAGACACATGGACCAATGGGGTAGAATTAGAAGCCCAGAGTTCAGACAACTCTGGCCAACTGAACTTTTGGCAAGGCTGTCAGGACTGTTTGAAGGCTCCTGTGGGGGAAATCATCTTTTGAGCAAATGGTGCTCGGACAACTGGATATCCATACTCAGAACCAGAACAAATCGAGCCCTTACCTTGCACCTGGCAAAAAAAAAAAAAAAAGAACTGAAAATAGATCAGTGACCTAAGACTACTAACAGAGGAGATTTAGCTCAGTGGCATATGCACCTGCCTGGCAAATGCAAGGTTGTGGGTTTGATCCCCGGTACAAAAAAAAAAAAAAGACTACAGGCAGAGAATTGTATGACTTTATAATAGATTCTTTCACAGAGCATCCATGAAATGATACACTTTTGTGTATCAAGGACATTAAGAGAAAACGGGAAAAACCATGTCCAGAGTGAAACAAAATAGTTTTGAATTATGTGTCTGAGAAGCCTCTTACAATTCAACAGCAAAGGAACAAACAACACAGTCAAACAGTGAGTGAGAGAAATAGTAGCTGTGTCCCCTAGGAGTGGGGGCAAAGGAGCCGTGAGCTTGTAAAATGTTGTCTGCACCATTAGTGCTGCCGAACCAGAGAGGTGGGGAAGCTGCTGATGGCAACACACAGTAGTACAGCTACCCGGACCTGGCTTGGCAGTTTCCTCCTGGAACTGCTACTGCGTTAGTGCTCAGGAGGACCAAAGGCAGGAATTCCAGCAAATACTGGCACGCGTGCCTTTAGCGCTGCTTTCCACAAAACCAAAAAGAGGGAATGTGGGTCCACATGTCCATCGGTGGATAAATACAGGACCAAAATCCAGTGTTCACACCTTAGAATATCCCTCAGCCAAAAAACAAATGAATGTACAACGCGGATCAATCTTTGAAACCCGAAGCCAGGCCAAACCAAGCAGACAAGGCAGGCCACGTGGTGTGAGATCCCGGATGGGTACGAGAAGGGAGACAGGGTGCACTCTGGGGCCTGCCAGGTCCAAGGAGCCTGCCTCCTCTGGCAGTGATGAAAACTGTCGTGGAACCCTGGAGAGGAAATGGTTCCATGGCTCTGTGAGCAGGCTGAACACTGCTGATGATGGGCTGGGAAAGGTGTGTTTTATAGGGTGTGAGTTTCAACTTGGTGAAGAAAGAAGCAGAGTCCTGTTTACTTCCACTGAGATCGTGTGTCGCTCCCTCCAGGGGTGTCCCCGAAGGACCTGGCACATTTGTTGCCAGCTCAACACTAGGAAACACAAAGTAGCAGTTTACATCCTGCTGAATGACACAAATGTGTAACGTCTATACAGAGTTTTATGAGTTCATGTTTGTGATCTATAACACATACATGCACCATGGGGAGCTGGTGTGCGTACACCCCACATCTCGCTTCTCTTTACTTACCCTTCCCCCTGCTTCTCTCTCCCTTAGATCCCCTCTCCATCTGAAAAATCTGTTTCCTACTGTCTCTTCTACTTTGCTCTTCAAGTTAATAAATGTGCTTAAAAAATGCCACTAGGAATCAGGAAATGATTCCCCAGGGTCCATCGGTAGTAGCTTGGACCCTTGAGGGGTGGTGCCAGTGGGAGGAATTCAGATCCTTGGAGTACACCTTGGAATGGGACATCAGAGCCCCAGGCTCCTGCTGTCTCTCCCTTTCCCTTCCACAGCCACACTCCCACCATGATACACCTTCACAAGCTCCAAATTAAGGGACCAATGACTGCAAACTGAAACTTCTTAACACGTGTAAGCTGATTATCTCAGGTATTTCGTCACAGTAATGTAAAACTGACACACAGGTGCCAGAATGAGAAACATCTTGAACACAAGCAGTTCTGCTGCCTGAGCTGTGTGCTCTGACCAAGCCCTGGGGCAGAGGCTGGGAAAGGCAGGCTAGTATCACCACCCACTGGCCTGGGTACCACGATGAGGATGTTTCGGCCACAGGGATGTCAGAGCAGCGGAGGCAGTGAGGTGGGAAAGGCCAAGGAATGTACCAATTCCAAGGTCAACAGAGATGGACAAACCATGGCCAGGAAACAGAACGAGTTGAGAGGTGTGTGGTTTTGCTAGAAACTGGAGTGCCCAGGGTGTGCTTCGGTGGGTGCTGAGCCAGGACAGTTCCAAGGACCCTGCTTTTCCTTAGAACTCCCTACCTCAAATTTATTTCTTTTTTATCAGTACCAGGGATCAAACTCACAACTGCCTGCTTGCAAGGCAGGCGCTTATGCTGCTGAGCTAAATCCCCAGCCCTCTACCTCAAATTTGAAAATGTATTTAAGAGACGTTTTCCTTGTGCCAGGCATCGTGATACTGGCTCAGTGAGAAAGTACGAGCTTCACGGGAAGGGGTAATTTTTTTGGGATCTGTGTCATTGGTAACACATTTAAATCATATCACTTCAAAACCCTATCACTGACCCTGTTATTTTCTGTGGTACTGACAAATAGGAACCATTCCATTGAGCTCTCTCACATCACACAAACATAGCTTTAAGAAGCATTGTTGATCAGACTTACCAATAAGTAGGAAAGTCGATAGAAATATTATACTTAGGGTAATCTTCCACAACGACTGAGTTAACCTAAAAAGAATAGCCAACAAAAAAGTATTTAACCAAGTAATCCATTACTATTAACCTTTAACTTGGACTTTAAGCCACCCACTACATGCAAGCCTACAGGTCTATTTATTCTTATTTTTTCTTGCAGGAAAAAAGATCCTGATTTTATTTTTTAATTCTTATTGTTGTGAGTTTGTGTTTGCAGAATGTAATGAAGCCCTGATGCTTCAGAAAGTGACCTGAGGAATGGGATGTGTTCAAAACAAGGGGAGCATTTTGAGGTGGGTTTGTAGCATTGTGCCTTTCCCTGAAATACATTCTTGAATTTAAACACATACCACATTTCTGAATCATCCCTTGTATGTCAAAGGAAGTACTTTCTTGAAATAATCACCCTTCAAATATTATTGAGCATATGCAGGTGGCAGAAGTTAAGTTATTCTGAGATTAGTGATGGCCTCCCTGGGGGCCCACATATGAAAATTATCATATTTACCAAAGGTTAATTCAAGTTTTTTTAAAACTCAAAATCCTAGCTGTCAGGCTCTGGTCTGCAAAACAAAACTCATTCTGTGCCTTCAGGGAGCCTGTGGGTTTTGCCGGGGAAGCAGGCTTGCTTTATTACTGCAGTTTTCAAATGCCATGCTTAGGGCAGCAGGGAGTCTGTAGTCGTCCTCTAATTTTTTTTTTCTATTTTTTATGGGTACCAGGGATCAAACTCGTGACTGTGCACTTGCAAGGCAGGTACTTATGCCACTGAGCTAAATCTCCAGCCCCTGTCCTCTAATTTTTGTGACAGCTTTATTTCTTGGCACATGCTTCACTGTTGCTCCCGGGATGGTCACCTCAGTATTTCCAGAGTTTGTTTTCCTAGCAGGCAGCATATTTGGTCCATCCAAGAGGACAGGGCTTGCCTGTCGTCTTGGCCCAGACCTGCCAGAGGAAAGGGTACTAGAGGAAGTGCAGCTAGTCACTTGAAATGTGTGTGCCCCGTCAGGCTCTGGGTCCACGGCCACCGCAGGGTGTCACAGATGTTTCTCTGTGTCTTGAGTCCTAAGGTCACCGTGGAGCTCTGTGCGCCCCTTGACACTAGTCAGCCAGTCTTATGGTGGAAAAAGCAGTCATCCATAGCACACAGCTCCCCTTTCCCCGTACTGATCCCCACCCATCTGACTACTGCTGGCACAGTGGGTCAGTCTGCCTGGGATGTTCTTTTCCAGACACACAGGGCCCAATGACACGCAGGACAGAATACGCGAGACCTCACGGAAACCAGCCCGCAGTCACATACCCATTGGCATCAGGGTTGCGGTATGCTGGTGATAAGAGGGGCATGCTGGTGCTGCTGCTGGGGGCTTCTGAGCAACTTGGGAAGGGCCGTGCACCCTGCCTCAGCTTCCCTTTCCTGCTCACTGCCCGACCCAGGCAGCCAGGAGCTCACGGGATGCCGGGTGCCATCCTCTCGCCCTTTCCTGGCTGACGGGAAACTCAGAGCTAGGCACACTGCTTTGCTTTCCGTCTCCTTGCTTCTCGGGGGTTCTCCTTCAAGGGGGAAGGCCCAGCACATTCTGAAGAGGCGGGGGGGGGGTTCCTTTGTTACATCACCTCTGTGACACCCCATGATGGCAGGCAGCCACCACGCCCAGCCAGTGGTGCCACATGCCACCTTTCTGCACCCCAGGGTTAACCCTGCTATTTACCAGCCAGGTCCCTATGCTGGGGCACAGCTGGACACCAGAAATCCAGTGGAAAAGACTGGCATATCCCCCTTCTCACACCGCTCCTTCCCCCCGCAAGTGACTGCCACCAGAAGGACTGAAGTACTTCATCCAGTCTTGTGTATTTTAAATCCATATGTTCCATAATATATTGTTCATGCTTTAAGATTTATAATCTGAGGTTTGAGGTCTAAGGTCTGAGGCACTGACGTCTGAACCCAGGGCTTCTGCACTGAGCTACATCCCCAGCCTTTTTTCACTTTTTATTTTGAAGCAAGATCTTGCTAAGCTGCTAAGTTGCCCAGGATGGGCTCAAACTTGTCCCTTCTGCTTCAGCCTCCCCAGAAGGCTAAGGCTGAGGCAGAAATCCTGACCTGACTGCAGCCATTTTGTTGTCTGTCACCAAACTGAGCTAGATTGTATGATTTGTCACCCAGCTGAAATTTCTGTGACTGTGCTGTTGACAGTCAGTGATAACCCTGTTGTGTACATCACAAAAGATCCTGGCCTTCAATAGAAGCTTATCTTCTTCTCAGAACTCCTGTTCAACTTATCAAAACGAAAGCTTTCTGCAAGCCTCACCTCAGACACTGTTAGTGTCCACAAAGTGTCCTTTCTTCTCCTGAGCTCCTAGCTACTGTTGATTCAACTTTTCACGCAGCAGGATTATAGATGTGTGTCATCATGCCCAGCTAATGATATCTGTCTTGAGATACATCAAGCCAATCACTAGTTTTACCTGCTCCATAGTTTATTACATATGCATCTTAATTCATTTACCCATTTTCCCACAGATGTACGCTTACATTTTTTCTCTTTCCATCAATACCAATCGTGCTCTGTGCTTGCTCTTGTACGGACATCATGGGTTTTTTCGGGCATGCACCTCGAAATGGGGTTTCCAGGTGGAAGAGTAAGCCACTTTGCTCGGGGTATAGCATTCTGGAGTGACAGCTATTTTGCTTTCAGCATTTACTGGATTCTTACTTACCTCTGTTTTAAAATATGAAACTTTGGAGTGGTAAGCAGCAGGTTGGCAGGAGAGGAGACCCCTGTTTAGGTCCCCCTCCATAACACCACAGAGACACAGCCTCTGTGGAGACCTGGGGTGTAGGTGACAGGCAGGAGACTCCAGGGGAGGCCCAGGCTGGGCAGTGCCTTTCTGAGAAGCCAGGCACAGGCCAGCAGGCAGGAGATCTGGCCATGGTCCCACCTGAAGACCCAGAGAGACCCCTTTCTCCCCTGGACCTGCAGCAACTACTGTACGTGAGCACCCTACCTGGGAGGAGTCCTACCTGCTATCCCTGGGGTCCAGGCCCGCTGACCTCAGTCCCCGATATGAACACCATAATGACCTGTGAGCTAGCGGTAGCCCCTCCCAAGCACAGTCTGGGAATATTTCCACAGGGGCCATGAGGAAACATGCCTGTCCAACAGCTGGGGCAGGTATGATAGCCACTCATCTGCAGTCTCTAAACAACTCAGTGACCCAGCTCAGGAGTCCTTAGCCATGATCTGGGAGCCATCCAGGCCACCCAGATGTCCAGAGAGAGACGTGGCCGTCATGTTCCAGAGGCAGGGCCAGTAAGCTTGATCTCATGGAAGATGCTGACACAAAGCTGTGACTCTGCTCCAGTCCCTCTCTGCTGAGGTGTGACAGCAGTCACGTCCGCCAGGGATGGACTCCCACTATGAGATGGAACCTTCTGTACACCCAGAGGGCCACTTGTTGTCCTCAGTTTCAGCCTTGGAGCCGAAAGCAGTTCCATAGCTTGGTTTCAGTTCTCTCAGGCATGGCTCAAGGACTGTCCTGGCTACTGAGGGACCTGTCCAGTGAACCAGCATAATCCTTCCCTCCGAGACACCCAGCAGAGACACCCTCCGAGACATCCATCCATGCACCAAGGAGACCTGCTATCTGCAGGCTCGAATATGGACCTTGAGGTGAATCCAATATCCCAAGGCCCATCCTAATTGCCATGGTTCAGAGGCCTAGAGACCAGGCAAACCTGAGCCCCTTGTAACGGCTGACAATTGAAGACCCATGAAAATCATCTTATTTGACTCTAACCTGCTTGGCTGCAATACTATATATATTTCCCTCAAGCTGAGGACCCAGCGGTATAAAATCTTTACCAGCTGAAATCAATCTGAAAAGATTGGCAAAGGTGCTTGCTATTTCTAAGTTACAGATAACTATTTAAGCCTACATGGGTGATAAAGAAACAGGGAATCAGGTTACCATCAAAAGAAACTAATAAAGCTCTAGTAACTGGCCTCAAAAGAATAGAGATCTTAAAATTAGCTAATGAAGAATTCAGAATAATAATTGTAAAGAAGCTCAGCGAAATGCAAGAGGACATGCGCAGATAAGTAAACAAAACCAGGAAATGATGCATTAGCAAAGTAAGTTTAAAAGTAGATACAGATATAAAAGAACCAATCAAAATCCTTGAGCAAAAGAATACAATGACAGGCTGAAAAATGCCGTAGATGGACTCAGTGATACAGAAAAAACGATGAACTGAAAAGCAGGTCATTGAAAGTTGGTCATGTAGAGTGGGGAGGAAGAATTAAAAAGAGCAAAGAGAGCATTTGGGGCCTCTGAGACACCATACTGTATGAGCAGGTGCATGACGAAAGTTGCAAAGGAAAGGAGAACAAGGTGAGGAAAGGTTCAATAAAAAACCCCAGTCCTGGCAGTTGTACAAACATCGAGATTCATGAAACTTGAATATTGCCAAGTAAGATCAACTCAAAGGCAATTACTCAGAGACATGTCATAATCAAATTACCAAAACTCAGACAAACAGGCAATTTCGAAAGCAACAAGTTACTTGGCAGATATGATGGACTATCATCAAATTAGAGCAGACTTTTCAGCAGAAATAGTGCACACTAGGGTAAAATGAGATAATATACTCAAAGTAGCAAGAGAAAAAAAAATTTGAACAAAACAAAACTGGCACCCAAGAATATTGCCTGGAAAAACTGTCTTTTAGAAATAGATGAGATAAACACATTCTGAGACAAATAAAAGCTGAAGATGTCATCACCATTGTAAGACCTGCCTTACAGGAACCACAAGAGGGAGTATTCAGGGTAAGATAAGATAGCTAAGTTACAACATGAGAATTGTAAAGCTAACACATAAATGTAGAAGGTAAATGCATAAATTCAGAGTACAGCAATACTGTAAGTATGGTGGTAAACCACTTTTAACTGGAGTATAAAAGTTACAAGAAAAAAAGGCTAAAATGATAGTGACAATAATTCATTAATGTACACATAATGCAAAAAGATCAAACAGGAGTAAATTAAATAGAGACTAAGAAAACAATATAAAATATTAAAAAACTAAAATTTTTTTAGAGATGAAGCTGACAAATTTTAGCAAGTCTAAGAAAAAAGGAAAAAACTGAATAGATCAGAAACTTAAAAGAAGATATTATAGTATTACAAAATTTAAAGATCATAACAGACTACTATGGATAATTCTATGACAAAAATTGGAGGGATAACCTAGAAGAAATTGATAAATGCCTACAAAGATACAAATGAATAATAAATAAATAGGAAATTTACAGGTCAGTAATGAGCAAGGAGACTAATTCAGTAATAAAAAAATCTTTCATAACAAAAAGTCCAAGATCTGATGCCTTCCATGGTGACTTCTATTAAACAGGTAAAGAACAATTCCACTTCTCAAACTCTTCTGAAATACTGCAGAAGAAACATTTCCAAACTCATTTCTAAGACCAATATTACCCTTATACTAAAGTCAGATAAGGGACAACAAGAAAAAAAATTGCAGATCAATAACTGATGAACATGAATGCAAAAATTATCAATAAAATGATAGCAAAAAAATTCAGTATCACATTCAAAGGATCATAGATCATGATCAAGTGGGATTTGTCCCTGGAATACAAGGATGGTTCATTATACACAAATCAATAAATTTGGTACACTGTAGTAACAGAAAGACAAAAAACACTATCATCTCAATAGATTTAGAAAAAGCACTTGACAAAATTCCATCCTTTCATGATAAAAATTCCCAACCTATTTAAAGCTTCTAGGTTGACTTTACAACCAATATTGTGCTCAGTGATGAAAAGCTGTAACTTTTTTGGAAGAAAACAAGGGTTCCCACTGTTGCTACTTCTATTTAACCTAATAGCCAGAGCAATTAGACAAGAAAAATAAGTAAAAATCAAGTTGGAAAGAAAGCAAATTGTCTCTGGTATGACATGATCTTATACATAGAAACCTTAAATATTACACCAAAACAACTGTAAAACAATTTAGTAAAGTTTCAGACACAAAACTAATACACAAGCATAGGTAGTATTCTCTATACTAACAATGAACTGTCTAAAAAAGAAGTAAGAAAATAATTCATTTTTTTTTTTTTTGTCTTTTTCCTTTTTATCAGTACCGGGGATCGAACTCACGACTGCCTGCTTGCAAGACAGGTGTTTATGCCACTGAGCTAAATCTCCAGCCCCCAGCCAAACAGTCTTAAGCAGAGAGAGCAGACCTGGGGGTACCACACTGCCTGACTGTGAAGGATACTAAGGTTTGGGGTATGGCTCAGGGCAGAGCTCCTGCCTCGCATGTGCAAGCCCCCCAGTTGATCCCTGCACCACAAAAGAAAAAATCCAAAAGCCCAGATAACTTAAGTATTACTGTAGTCAGTTTTTTGACCTTGAGACGCATTATCTGACAGGTAGGACTTGAAGGAGGAGAGATTTAATTTGGTTCACAGTTTCAAGGAATCTAGTCCGTGGTCAGCTGGCCCCAAGGCAGCAGCCTCATGGTGGAAGTGCATGCTGGAACAAAGCTGCTTGGTTTTGGGAAGCAGGGCAGGGGAACAGTGCCAGAGAGGAAGAAGTGAGGGACCCGCCACAGACCCCAGGGCCATGGTTCCCTGACCCAGCCAGACGGCCAGCAGTCAGCTTTACTGATATGCTAGGTGTTTCATAATCCAACAAAGCCAGGTTAAGTTTGAAGCTGTGGCTTCAAAGCTTGGGTCCCGTGTTGCTTGAGGACATGTAAAGCATGTGAGCCTGCTGTCCAGGGCAGGCGCGGACTGGGATCCGTTTATGTAACCCATGACTTAGCTGCAGCAAACCACGCATGTGCTGGTTAGGCCCAACAGAGAGGAATGTAAATAGGGATGAGGGCCCACATAAGCCATGAATGGTACAGATGCAGCTGCTTTTCCTTGCTGCCTTTTGAACTGTCGTCTGCCTCGTAGCTTTCCTTTCCTTGGGGAGCTCACCTGCAGAATCACCTCTACAGACCCCCAACCTTGGCAACATATCAGGAATGACAGCCACAATCCTGTATAGACATTTTTCCATAGAAGACATACAAATGGTCAAACAGTTGTTCAAAAAAAGACTCAACATCACTGACTATCAAGGAATTTCAAATCAAAGCAAGTACGTGCACCACTCAGTACCTACTGGGAAGTCTTCAAAAACACAAGAACGGACAGGTGTTGGCAAAGATGTAGAAGAGAAAAGGCAATCTTGTGTACTGTCGGTGAAAATGTAAATTGGTACAATACTGTGAAAAATAGTATGAAATTTCCTCAAAAAGTGAAAAGCAGGGGCCGAGGATTTAGCTCAGTGGCATAAGCGCCTGCCTGGCAAGTGGGAGGTCATGAGTTCAATCCCTGGTACCTTAAAAAAAAAAAAAACAATGAAAAGCAGAACTACCATATGATCCAGCAACACCGTATCTGGGTACTCAAAGGAAGTAAAATCAAAGAGACACCAGCCCGACTGTGTTCGCTGGAGCCTTGTTTCCGAAGGCCAAGATGTGGGATCAAACCAGGTGCCAATGGATGGCTGAATGGATATAGAAAATTATACACACACACATCCATAATAAAGTAGGAAATCATATCCTCCCTGCTGCAGAATGAAGCCAGTGAACAGTTTTCTAATGCAATCAGCCAGACACAGATAGATACTACTGGGGGACCTCACGTACACGTACAACTAAAAATGTTCAAATGTACAGAGTTGGAGAGTGGAATGGTGGCTGCCAGGGGTGGAGCGGAGTGGTGAAAGTGACAAAGAGAAGGCATTTGTCAAATGGCTGAAGTTTTTGCTACAAGCTGCATAAATTATGAGGCGGCACTGCCCAGCATGGCGACCAGAGAGGATGGTGCTGTGTGGTACACTCGAATCTCCTGAGAGTGGAGCCTTAGTATTCTTAGCACACACACTATGCAGGATGAATATGTGTGGTGATGGTAGGTTCATTAGCTTGATTGTTGGAAGCATCTCACGCCATATGTGCATATTAATTATTACACTGTGCAACTTAAATATGCAGGCTCTCTACGTGTCAGTTATGCCTGATTACAGTTGGATAAAGTTAAACTAGGCCATTCTTCTTGGTAAGAAATTCCACCAGAGGGAAAGGGCCAGGAGCCTGGTCCCTCTAACCCCCCACAGGACACACAGGATCTGAAGCTGACAGCGATTTGAAGAGGTCCCGCCTCCCCCAGCTCTGATGGAGATCAGGGTCTTGTTCTTCCAACTCAGCTGACGGCTCACACTGCTCCATGACATGGAAACACATAAACACACGTCAAAGGGAGAGGCTATCTTTAAATCATTTAGATTATTACCAAAAAGGAAACACACAGTTTAAAACTCCCTGTGGTTTGCAAAAAATTGGTATTAAGTATATGTTGTATAATCTAGAGAGAAAAATGGAGGTCACAGGGTCGAGAGGGGAAGGAAATGGACCAGGCTCTCTCAGCTGCTTAGGGTGAGAAATGATGAGCAGAAGGGGAGAGAGGGAAAGATGCCAACTAAAGACATGACCCAGGAGTTCAAAAAAACCAGCTTCAATAAACAACAGCGAGAAAACAAGAGACTAGGCAGGAAGGCCAAGGGACTTAGAAAAATTGGAATTTGTACTTATGGACTTTTTTCCTTTTCTCAAAATGCTCGTAAACAGGAGACATTGACCTACAGCTATAAACATAGGCAGATAAAATTGCACGCAGTGAGATTATGTGTGAGGTGATATTAAGTCTTTCTACCTTCTGAGGGCCAGGGAAAGTCCAGGAAACAGAGATGCAGAGGTATGCTCATCATAAACAGATGGCTCTTGTGCTATGCCTTTATTTGATATGCCATATACAGACACATGGGATTTCAGTGGCACTCCGAAGCAAACCTTCCTGCTAAGGACTGATCACTTCACCATCATTTCAGCTACACATAAAAGCTCCAAGCTTTTATTAACCCAGTTTAGAATGCAGCTTCTCTGGTCAGGAGGGCTGCATTTCCTGAGATCAGCTGTTTTAAAGAATGAACTCTGTAGAGCCCCCGGCTGGAGTGGTGTCTTACACAGTGGCAGCACTCCTGATGTCTGGTGATAACCGGAGAGCCTCTATAAATAGTGGACGGACGTGTGCGGTGTGGCATTCGGTCTTGATTAACTACACGCCGGGCTGAGGGAGAGTCTAAGCATTGGTCACAACGCGCCATGAGAGCTGGATCAGTCTGTGCTAAAGCTCCCTATATGCATACAGGCTTTCCCTTCACCCAGTTCCTGTGCTCCTGGCCTTCTCCTGGAGAACACTGTTCTCCTGTAACAGAGGCAGCACATTCTTTAGCTCAAGTGTACTAACAGCCACCAACCTAAAAGCCTTAACTGAAAAAAAATTTTAAAGCTGGATGTGGTGGCACATACCTGTAAGCCCAGCACTTGGGAGGCTGAGGCAGGAGGATCAGTGTGTTTGTGGCCAGCCAGTGCTACATAGCAGCAAGACACAGTCTCAGGAAAAAAACATTATTTTCAATAAGTGAAAAATCAAAGCTATTTACAGTTGTCCCGGCTGTTGGAACAGAAGGCTTTCTGTGCAGGTTCAAGCACATAGTTGACCTTTGTCTAACTTTACATATGGGTTAATCATGGGTACTTGGCCAGGGTCACATGACACCCCCTGGTAAGAAGTGTCTCCTGTTGAGCTGTGCCAAAGCTGTCTCTGAGGTTGTGCCAAATAACTTTCACCCTTGTGAAGCAGGGTAATTCATAATATTCTTCTCTGTCTGTCTGCTTCTCTCTCTGTCTTTCTGTTTCTCTCTCCAGATCTCAAACTCACCAAGCCCAAAAACCTCTCCTTTAATAAGCTGAGGGTGTGGAATGTTAAATCCTACATGGTAGGAATACGGCTAAGAGCTTTACGAAAGGGCCTTTGGACCCGCAAAACAGAAATATTCCCTAAAACTAAGATACAGGAAAAGTTTGCATGGTAATTTTACTGTTAGTATACACTTGGCAGAAATATCTATTTGCTGATTTTACCAAGTACTCACCTCTTTTCAATACACTAAATATCTAGAGATTTAGACTCCAATTTCTTTCTAAAATTAAGAACCCTTTTGTTTCGTGAACCATTACTCCCACATTTGCTTAGATTATATTTTTATCTGCTGGTGCTCCTTTTTAGAGGTGAGACGAACACCCTTGCTTGGAGAACTAGAGGGTGGATATTCCTAATTTTGGAAGTTTCTAGTGGGGAAACCACGAAACCACACAAAGCGCAGGAGAAACTGCATCAGGCGTGGTCCCGCCCCGCCCTCCAAGGCCCCGCCCCCTGTTTCCTTTAGCGCCAAGCTCCAGGCGGTTGACAGGGGCGCCTGCGTTCTTCCCTGGCTCTGATTGGCCCACTGGAACTCCAGACGTTGACCCTATTGGCTGCCTAAACTGTCGCCGCCCCCGCTGATTGGCCGCGAGGCCGTTGCCGTGGCGACGCGGGTTGTTGTGTTTCCGCGCCGCTCTGGGAGTGGCGGGTTGGCCCAGACTTCAGCCCGCGCCCTACAAACCTAAGCCACCGAGACCCTTGGCAGGCGGGCGAGCTGGGCGGCGGGGACCGTTCTGCTCTGCGGCGCTTGATCACTGAACTGCGGCGGACTTCCGCACCTTCTGCCGTAGGCGTGTCAGTTGCAGACCCGGGCCCAGCCTCGTCCGCATCTCCCCGCCGTGCCCAGTTATGAGGAACACCACCAAGGAGGCGCCGGGCGCCGGGCACCGCTACGCCCCCTGCGGTAAGCGGGACCGGGGCAGGGGCGCGAGCGGTGGAAAGGGAACCCTGGGGCCCTTTGACATTTTCTTTGCAATAGTTCAACGATTAGTTCTGCTGTTTTCCTGCATGTTAATTACGGACCTTTCTTTCCGGCTGCAGCCTCGAGGTATTTCACTCACTCCCTATTTAGACCGCAGCCAAGTTAAATCTGTTTCCTACTGAAAGGGGCAAGTTGGATGCTGGAATGGAGAATCCAGTTGAGTTCTCAGTTGAGTTTTCATGCTCCGCAGTTTTCATCCAGTTGAGTTTTCATGCTCCGCAGTTTGAAGCTGGGAAGGAAAAGGAGACTCAGTCTTGGTGTTACTTCTCGGAGCCTTGGGAAGGACTGGAGAAAGAGGGTAGAGAAGAGAGCCCAGATGCTGCGGTGGTGGGGCCGAGCTGAAGGCCTGTACATGTTACAGGAGACGAGTGAAACGTGGCCCTTGCGCATGTCCACACGCACTTCTAGTCCCTGGTTCTGACTGTGACCGGTGCTGGGGACTTGAGGGGTGAGGAATGAAGGGAAGGAGATTGGGCAACTCCGGTTCGCTCACTTTGGGCTCAGGAAATTAGGTGAGTGATGCTGACAAGTGTCCAGCGCAGTGTCCTGCCCAGCAAATGCGCTAACGCAGTTAACCCCCTACCAATCCTACCCGGCATCACCACCCCACTGCACAGACCAGGAGACCGAGCGCTGGCGCTTGGAATAAGTGGTCCACCCTCCCGCAGGCACCAGGTAGCTTCACAACCCTTTCTTTTAATGGGGGCACTGGGTGTGCCCCGTGGGCCTGTGAGTGCATGGAATGAGGTCTGTGCTTCAAGACCTGGAGAGCTGCACATCCTCATTTCTGCTCACAGGCACTTGCAACCACCATTTCCTCATTAATAAACAAGAAAAAGAGTGGCTGGGGATTTACCTCAGCGGCATAAGTGCCTGCCTGGCAAATGCGAACATGTAAGTTTGATCCCCGGTACCAAAAAAATAGAGCGTTTTCGGGTTGGGGATTTAGCTCAGAGGCTCAAGCACTTGCCTGGTAAGCAGGAGGTCATGAGTTTGATCCCTGGCACGCGCGCGCGTGCACACACACATGCACGCGCACACACACACACACACACACACACACAAAGTAAAGATTCTGCTATGTAGTCTATAGGAGAAGGAGAGAGAAAAGCAATGGGACAGTATAGTGACCTAGGGTCAAGCAGATGGTAACAGTTTCTGAATGATAAAAGCTATAAACCCAGTGCTCTGGGAGGCTGATGCAGAAGGATTGCAAGGCTGAGTCCAGCCTGGGTAACTTAGTGACTGACTTAGTAAGATCTGTGGGAAGGCCCGGGCTCAGTCCCCAGTACCGCACTCATGTAAAAGGCTAAGTCTTCGCCTCTTTAACCGTCTGTAGGTGGTGGTGATTGGTGCTTCGCTGTTTAGTCCCTAGCTCTGTCAGCTGTTCCTTGGCACTCGTTTCTAAATGGTCTGGGGTTCAGTGCCTGTCCAAAGCTTCCCGTAACGAGCAGGTAGATGTGCTGTTCTCTGAGGACTAATTAGTAATCAAAACACGGAGAGGAAAAATAAGCAAGGGTCAAATGTGCTCTTTCTGAAGGAGGCAGGCTTTGAGCTGAGTGAACAGAATTGAAAGCTACTAAACTCTTATTCTTCACTGGTAAATTGGTGCTGTAGAATCTTTTGTGGAATCTCTTAAACCTCCCAAGTTTTTCCTTTTCAAAACTTCCTGGTGTTTATTTAGCTAATTAATGTCCCTGAGATACTAAAAAATTTTTCCTAGGTACCTAAAAACATTTTCCGTGTGAGAATGTTATTTGCTTCTTTGCAGTGAACAGAGCTACAGTGTAAGTAGAAACTGGATGTTTAGGTTTTTAGTCTTAGTTGATGATGATTTTTTATTTTTGTGTATTTATTTGAGTGGATTTATTCTGTACTGTTTTCCTGTGCACTGCATAGTATAATCAACCAACCAACAGACCATTTGTCTCTCTCTCTGTCTATCTAGCTATCATCTATGGAAAGACATTTATTTTAAGGACCTGCCTCATAGGTATATGGGGCTGCTAAGTCTGGAGGGCAGGCTGAAGTTGAGGGGTGACCCTGCATTCAGGGGTGACTTTACATTGGAAATCAGCTCATGTTGCAATTCAAGTTCACATCTGGAAATAGACTTTCCTTTTCTGTTTTCTTAAGCCTGATTGGATGAGGCTCACCCATGTCATGCAGGGTCATTTGATTTACTTGAAGTCCATTGATTTAAATGTTATTCTCATCCAGTGAAATACCTTAACAGAAAAATCTAGAATAATGTCTGACTGATATTTGGGTACCATGGCCCATCAAACTGATGCATGCAGTTTGGCTCTGCTTCCACCATTAGCTGGGAATTGTGTTAGACTCTGAACATCGTGTGTTTGTGACAGTTACATTCTGATGACTGCCGTTTAATACCCCCACTGTGCCACACGAATTACATCTTTTGTGTTACACAGTTTGCCTGGATTTTGTTTCTGACTGCCTATGAAGTTTTCTCTTATATTTGACCATCTGGTTAATCAATTTCTGATGCAAAGATTTGCCTAAAATGCCTATAGTTAGAACACCCCATATCCCTTCCATCAAAGGATTCTACAGAAGTAGTGAAGAGCCCAGGTCCTGGGGCTGCTGCCAGCCACCCCGACCCTGGACAGTGGCTCCCTGCCTGCAACTCAATGCCTCAGGGAGTCTCACATGTCCCAGGCTGGCCTGCAGGCTGCCCTGGTACCCACCAGCTCAGGCTCAGGCAGCCCCTCGCTCTGCCTGGCTGGGCCCACACCCCTTTTCCGTGCTAGACTCATGTGGCCGAGTTGCAGCAGGGAGGAAGGACAGAGGGCAAGCTTGTTCTTCCTCCTGCTTCACCTCTGCTGCTCCTCCTTCAAGATGGAGGTCACGGTGGACTCTTTCGGGTTTCCCCTCAGCCTCCCCAAGGGAAAGTGCTTGGGTATCGGGGCCTGGGGAAACTTCCTTTTGGTGAAGTGGCCCCTTGCTGTCCCTCCCTGTTAGGGACATGGGCCTCTGGCAAAGCCCTGCTGGCCTGCAGCCCTGAGAGGCCAGGCCAGGAGCTTGTGGTGGGTGGGGCTGCCAGCTCCAGGCTGCGCTTCACTGTAGCTGGCTGGGCAGGCTGGGCAGGCTGGTGGGCAGCTGAGTGGCAGCGTCAGCACGGCTCATCTGGCCACAGCTGGCCTGCCCCGCCCCACCCAGCGCAGCTGAGAACCTGCACTGTGGAGCTATTGTTTCTGTGCAGAATTTAGGTCTGTGTTTTAACACGTCGAGTGTGTGCAATCGTGGGCAGACTGAGGCTGGGCGTGGTGGCACACGCCTGTCATTCCAGCATTTGGGAGACTGAGGCAGGATGATAACTTCGAGTTCAAGGCCAGCCTGATTACAGAGCAAGGCCTTGTCTCACAAGTAAAACAAAAACAGATCTTGGGCAGCATCTGCCCACATCCCACACAGCACACCGTTTCACTCAACGCTTTTTTAAATTTTAATTTTTTATTAATCTACATTTGCAGTACATGATGATTACATTCCTCTTGGAGGAGTTGGGGCGTGGATGTCACACATCTTAACTGTTTTCTGGTCCTCTTTCCTTTCCCTCTCACCCCCCCCCCCATCTCCACTCCCCTTCTCTTCTGCAAAAGCTCTGTCTCCCGATTCCTACTGTCTAGCTTTTATTGTGCTATTCCACTTTGGGTTTCTCATGTAAAAGAAATTGTGTGACAGTTAAGCTTGTGTCTCTGACTTCTTTCCCTTCGCATTATGATCTCAGGCTACATCCATTTTCCTGCAAATGACCATGTTCATCCTTCTGTATGGCAGAGTTGCTCTCCATTGTGTGTAAACAGCACCTTTTCCTCATCCATTCACCTGCTGACAGACATAAGGGCCACTTCCAAGATTTGTCCGTGATGTTCTAATGAGTAGGGGTTCTTTGGACTTCCCTCTTCCCCAGCAGGGCTGAGAAGACAGTTAAATCTCACCTCTAGGAGGAGAGATCGCCAGAGAGGTAGACAGGTGGATGGGGCCTTGGATGCCTGTGTCTCTGGAAAGCTGGGATACCAATGAGATGGGAGAGGCTAATGCAGGAGACCAGGCCGGTGGTACCTCTGTGGCATGGGCAGCTGGTGTCTTCGTGGACTCTGCAGACCTGGGCATCCCCTGCTTAGCATTGGGCGCAATGTGGTGGGTCTTGAGGAGGAAGGCGCTCCCCAGCCTGTATCCTGTTCCCTGTAGCGTCCTGTCTGCGCGGAGACCGACCCGAGGGCACACTCTGTCCCCCTCCCTGTGTGGGCTCCCGGGACCCATGGTGACACAGCACGCCTCTCTCCCATCCAGACTGGTATTACCACCTCCCGGCCAAGCGCTCTGAGAAGGCCGTGGGTGCCCCACCGGCGTCCCAGATCCCGGGGCTCAGCAACTTGGGGGACTCACAGGACCAGGCCACACTCGGGGCCAGGAGGTACTGGATCAAGGACACGGACTCTGAGTACGTGAAGCTTGCCAAGCAGGGCGGCAGACCCGGTAAGACCCGCGTGACCCCTGCACAAATAGACACACGCATGTATGCACACACACGCATGTCTGTGCAGGATGTTACAGCTGAATGGTGCCTTCGGAGAGGTTCATATCACACCCCTGGCTTCCTTAGTGCTAAGAGAATCTCAGGGTGCCATTTACCTCAGAGGGAGCCTGTGCCTGCCTTTTAATGTCCCCTGCCTGCCGTGTCCAGTTCCTCATGTGTGCGGTTTTCCCTTTGCTCCTCAGTTGTCCCTAGTTGCTCCTTGTCCGCGGTAGAGGGGACTGAACCAGGGCCTTCCCACTGAGCTACGCCTCCAACCCCTTGACGGGATCTCCCCAGTTGCTCCATTGTCCAGGCAGGGCTTGAACCCTCCCCGCCCCTGGCTCAGCCTTGCAGGGTGGGTGCTGGGGTTACAGGCCTGCACCACCGGCCGCTGTGTGAATGGATTTTGCCTAATGGAAAAGCCCAGCGTGTTTCAGTGGTGGTGATGATGAAAATTAACTCACACATGCAGAATTTAACTGAGATGTTAGGCTAAGACTGCAGCACCTGGAGTGCGATAGAATTCATCCTTCAGTGGGAAGGGCCATGTCCCTAAATGTCTCCCAGCGAGCCTTTGGGGTTAGGGACCCTGAAGGCTTCTGGGCTTTGTTTCTGTCCCCACTGGCTGTCATCACCCCTATGGGACAGGGCTATGGGGAACCAGATGACACTGAGATTCCAGGCCACTGCCTTGGACTGACCCAGAAGGAAGCAGCTGGATTGCAGTTGAATACTTTTGTGTTCCATCCCCTCCACTTCCTGTTGGTTAAAAGAATAGTGAGGTGCTCACATTGGCTTACTGCTGGCCACATTAACAGAGGTTACTTATTTTGGTAAAAAGGACTTACTCAAAGCCTGCCCCGAGGAGATGGAGACCCGGTTTGCCTCCAGCCTGGGTCTCCCAGGTGCAGGAGGTCAAGGGTGCTTTGTAGCCAGGAACAGAGGCGGGCACACAGTGAATGTGGATCTCCACCCTGCCATAGCTTCCAGCGTCTCCCGCTCATCGTCCCCTTTCTTGGGGAAGGAAACCCGGCTCCTGCTCCCTGGGCCAGCATCTGCATATCGTGTCCCCCAGAAGGGGCTGAGGAGAGGTGGGGTGTTGGTTTTGAGCAGGAAGAAGCTTGGAGAAGTTGCTTATCTCTGAAAAAATCAACCTTTTAAAGTTCTATTTGCGGTGCCCTTTCGCGGTGCCCCCCTGGCAGGGGCTGAGGAAGGTCTGAATGAGGCCTGAACGCTGCATCAAACCATTTTCCTAGTGGGGTCACTTCCAGAAGCTGGTGCTAGCACAGAGAGGAGAAAAAGATTCCCTGTCTGCAACATGCTGCCCATTATTGTTCTAGTAACAGTAACAATAATTAGCTGGGCAAACGGGGCACACCTGTAGCAGCTCCACCCCTCAAGAGGCTGAGGCAGGAGTATCTCCGTGAGTTTGAAGCCAGCCTGGGCTACTTAGCAAGACCCTGTGTCAGAAAACCAAAAATCAACTCATCAAACAAACAAAACATCAGAGAGTTGATTGTACAACAAATGTCATATAATTACCACTGGGCGAGTCCACATGGAAGAGACAGGATTTGTTCTCTTGTAACTTTACTGTAAGCCTTAACAATAGAACTGTCAAGTACCTACCTGTAGTCCCAGCATTCTTGGAGGATGAGGCAGGACAATTGCAAGTTGAAGCCCTGCCTGGGCAATTTAGCAATTTAGGGAGCCCCTGTCTTGAATTTTTAAAAAGGCTGGGGATGTAGCTCAGTCTGAAGACTTCAATCTCCATGGTTGCAAAACAAGTGAATCATTAGTTTTACATGGAAGGTTAAACATTTCTTACTGTGTGTAATAAATCCCTGGAAGGTTTTTCTGCCAGCTTTGGCGTGGCTATTGTTGTCCCCATTCTATTGCAAAACTGCTTCTCCTGTTCCCTGCCTTTTGGCACCAGGGGAGGGGACTGAAGCACAGACAGCCCCCGTGAGCTGGAAGCAGGGTCCCTTTGAGAATGAGCCTGGACTCTGTGCTGCTCAGATTGGCTGCAAAGTGACTAGCAAACCTCCCAGGTGATTTCCCCTGGAAACCTCGAGGGGAAAGTTGTCCTGGAAACAGCTGTGGGTCAGGGACAGCCTCCCCACCAGAGGAGGAGAGGGGAGGAGAGGGGGGAGGATCCAGCGCTGCAGTCCCGGAGAAGGGCCTGGGTAGGGGAGGCCTGAGGAATTGGCAGGAAGTGATGATTTCTCTGTGCAGAGACCAGGACTGGGGCTTTGTCCAGTTTCACAACAGAGCAAGGTGGGGTAGATGTTGCTGTCTGGGAGGCAGGTGACAGCCACCCACCTGCAGCCCAGGAGCTCCGCCCAGCTGCCCCCCTCCCTGAGCTTCTAGCCTGGTGTCTGGAGCACACCCAGCACCTCTGCGTGTCTCTTTTCCCTGGAGATTTGCTGAAGCACCTTGCAGCTGGGAGCAGGAGGGGCTCCCCGGTGGCCTACGCCCTCCCGGACTGGTACATCCACCATAGCAAGCCGCCCACCGCCAACCAGCGCCCGTGAGTACCTGGAAGCACACACGCTTGTATTACCTTTCTCACCATCCAACATCCCAGGGTGGGCTTTACTGATAGGGTGCCCAACACTGGTCATAAGTGTGTGGTGTCATAGGTCCAGGTGCTGTATACAGTGTATAGGTCTCTGGCAGATGTGACACAGTCACGGCCAAGCCTGAGCCAGGGGCCACAGAGCACTTTGGCCCTGCCTTGAGTTGTGGGTCTGTGGCCTCTTGGTGAACAGCTTTGGGTTAGGACCATCAGCAACAGCTCGTGCCTGCGCTTTCTTCTCACTAAGGGTGAAAGGCAGGAGTCCCACCTAGAAAGACGGGCACCTTGGGCTCTGGACAGACATGGGGCCACGGGAGCCAGGGTCCCCACTTTCGTGTCTAGGATTTCCTGTCTGTGGCTACGCAGACCTGACCCTCCACGCCAGAGCAGACACCCTTTTGGTCTGCTGTCTGGTTTTGTTCCTGTTTTGGTTTTTGCTTGAAAGCTGGGACACCACGCTGCCTTCTAAGTCATTACCTGGTATCACTGCACTGCCCTGCCCACGGTCACACTGTCGTTTATGCCTTTTGGATTCTGTTTCCTCCCAAATTTCTGCTTTTTTTTTTCTTTTTTTATTAAGAAAAAACACAAAATGTATTACATGACTGAGGCCAGGGAGGATTTTTCTTCTTCCAAGTGTTAGGTTTCTCTCCCAAATGAATGGTTTATTTCCCTGGCATTCCCAAGGCTCTGGGTTTGGTCCTAGGCACTGTACACACATATACACACATACGTACGTACACACACACCCAGAGTACTTAGTGCTCAGAAAGGAAAAGGAATGGGGCAAAATGAAAGACCTCCTAGAAAGGGTACAGTCTGGAAGTGGCCTCCCCGGACCGCAGGTCACGAGGAAATCAGCTAGAAGCTGGAATACCCACATTAGCTAGGCCCGTTTAACAGGACATAAAGCACTTCGTCATTTTAAATGATCACGCTACCCGGTAACTGTTTAGAGCTGTGTCTCTCTGAAAGGGGCCGGAGTGAGTAGCTTCACTCCCACGTGAGCCTGAGCTGGCCTGGGCGGAGGGCTGGGGTGTCTAAGGGGACCCCCAACCTGCCCATGTGTTAGAGGGACTGGGTGGCATTTATGTGGGGAGAGGGGCCGGGAGGTGGCACTCTGTGACCTCTGTGACTACAGGGCGCCCGCGGCGTCCATGCCGGATTACATGGTATACCAAGAGTTCCACCCCAGCAGCCGGGCTGATGGCGGGAGCTACGAATCCCGGAGGGGGCCCTTCGACTTCGATGTGAAGACGGTGTGGCAGAGAGAGGCGGAGGAGCTCCAGGAGAGGAAGAAGGTGACAGCTTGCGGGTGGTGGTGTCTGTACATGCAGTGCTTCCCTGACCCCTCCGGGCTGCTAAGGGGGTGCGGGTCAGCTGCCCTGGGGCGTTGGGGTGACCCCGCATCTGTTGTGTGCTCAGCGCTTTGTTTCATTTGACTGCAAGGCTGGTGGCCCAGACCTTGTTGCCCGCAACCCCCTTTCCTTGAATAGTGACTTCATAGGTAAACTTACAGTTAACTGAGCGCTTTTGGTCGGTTAATGCTTGTCCTGGGAGACACTGGCAGGGTGCTTCTCATCTGGAGCACAGAAGAAGGAAATTTTGTATTTTTCCACTATTCTGCTTTCAGACATTGCCATCTCCTTTAAGTCTGTCTGTTGAAATTTCCCTGGAGTGCCTCTTCCCACTGAAAAAGGGAGAGGAATTCTTTTCTTCTGTACACAGTGGAAGAGAGTGTTACCTGATTGGAAGCCCTTCCCATCCTCTGGTGTGAACTTGGGGTCTCCAGGGACCCCAGTTAGCTGCCAGCTCCAGGTCTGAGGTGCATCAGGATTTGTGAACAAAATGGACGATGTATGTTAAAAATCACCATGTTAGATGCTGAGCACAAGCCGAGCCCTGTTTTTTAAGGACACAGGCAGTGTCCGGCCGGGCTCCTCATGTCATACTAGTGTGAAGTGTCTCCTCGTTTACCTTTGGCCTTAGGGAGCAGCATCGCTGGCTGCCATGGGCCGCCTGTGTGTTCTGTCCCCCGTGTCCAGGTGTGGTCCTGGCTCTGGGTTGTTCCCACTGTCCCTGTGGATCGACTTGGTTCATGATCAGGCCCGCAGCTCCATGACAGGCCAGTGGCCCATGACATGAGCTGTGTCGGGCAGGCAGGGCCTGGTTATCTCACAAGGTGACCCTATTACCGGGTGTGGAGTTCACCTGCCAGTGTTCCCTTAATTTTTCTTCCTTCCTTCCTTCCTTCCTTCCTTCCTTCCTTCCTTCCTTCCTTCCTTCCTTCCTTCCATTTTTTGTGCTATGGAGAATTGAACCCTGGGCCTTTGCACTAAGCCAGTTTTGTGGCCCCTTTTAATTTTAATTTTTTATTTCGAGACAGGGTCTCACTAAGTTAAGTGCCTCGGGTTGAGCCCAAATTTTTGATCCTCCTGCCTCAGCCTCCCGGGTGCTAGGAATACAGCTGTGTGCTGCCATGCCCAGCCTGTTCCATGAGTTTGGCCAAACGCATTCATTGTGCAGGTTTCCAGCACAGTGCAGCACCATAATCTTCAGATTGCTCAGCCTTTCCATTGTCACCCTCTCCTGAGGCCCAGCCCCTGGCAGTCACAGATCTGATTTTTTGCCCTATTGCTGGATTTTCCTTTCCCAGAATGCCAATCGGTAGCATTGAACCATAAGTGACCCTTGATCCAGCTTATGCCGTGCAGCTCGGGCATCTGAGATCTGGCCTCTCTGTGGGGCAGGACAGGCTGGGTCCCTGGCATGCAGAGCTGAGCCACGTGGGGGCACAGTCCATCCCAGCCTGCCAGCAGACCCAGGTTATTCCAGCTCAGGCGGCTCTCATGCAGGCCACTCAGGGCCTCAGCATGCAGGCTTCTGCATGGACCATTTGGTATTTCCCACTGATAATTTTTCATGCTTTTCCTACTGAGCAAATGCACCCTTTTTTGAGACAGGGTCTCTCCATGTAGCCCGGGCTGGCCTCCAACTCACGGTGAATTTTCTGTCTCAGCCTCAGTGGTGCTGGGATTACAGGCATACGCCATGACCGTAGGTTTGAGTAGGTGCATCTTCATTTGAACACCACGACTCCTTTTGGGCCACTCCTTGCCATCTTTCCTAACTGTCCTGTGGGACAGGCTGGCTGCTGAACTGTCATCTGACCCCAGTTGGTGAATCACGGCCAGGTCTACCCCCTGTCCCTCAGGTCTGTATGTACCGCTCTGATCCAGGGTCTGTGTGTTTTTACACAGGTGAAGCTGCCAGCCATTAGCTCGAAGCAACCCAGCAAAGTGGGGACGACAGCAGGTGCCAGAGAACCCGCAGGAAGCAGGGTGTCCTTCCCTCCCATGTAAGTGCTCCGACCATGGGCGGCTTCTGCCTGGTTAGGTTCGGGGGTTATCTTCTGGGTTCCATCCCTGTGGCTGTGGGACTGGAGGCTGAACCTGGGCTTCACACTGAGCTATACCCCAACTCTTCTTTAATTTTGAATTTTGAGACGCAGGGTCTCAGTAAGTTGCCCAGGCTGGCCTAGAACTTTCGATCCTCCTGCCTCAGCCTCCTTGAGTGCTGAGATTACAGGCCTGCACCACTGGGCCCAGCCTCAGTTGTTCCTTCCTGGCTGTGGTTTTGCTACTTGAGCACACATCTGAGTTTCCTGGGTGCCGGGCAGCTTTCTGCTTTGTGGTCACTTGTCCAGCAGGGTCCTGCTGCCCGGTCCTGATGTTTTCTGTCACTAGCCCTGAAGCCTGGCTTGTGCTGTGTCCACACTCAGCTGGAGGGGATGTCAGGGACATCAGGGGCACTAACCTTTACTGATCTTCCAGCCAGAGTGAAATCCTCGAGGCCTCTTATGCCTCCTGGCTTTTCCAGAATTCTCATTCAGTGCTAGAGTAAATGTCTTTATTTGCCTGGCTCTTTAGATAGTTTCTCATGCAAGGGTCTGGGGCAGGAAATAGTAACAGCTCGGACACTGGAGGGAGGGTGAGAGGCGGTGGGGGACCTTTAGGCCACCTTGCGGTGCACACTGATAATCCCAGCACTCAGGAAACTGAGGCAGGAGGGTCAGAGCAAGCTCAAGGCCAGACTGTTTAGCGAGACCTCAAAACACGAGAGCAGCCATCACAAGTCAGACACCCATGGCCAGAAGGGACAGGAAGCGATGGGCTGTCATGCAGCCCAAGGAGAGACTTTGAGGAAGCAGGATGGGTACTGGCGTCCCGATGGCCTGCATGGAAAAAAGCCTTGGCGAGTGGACTAAGCACTGTCCTGTGCATCACGGGCGACTCGAAGCATGTCTGCGGTCCCAGCGTGGTGGCAGCTGACGCAGGAGGGGTGAGGTGGGCCAGTTTAAGCAGACTCCCTCTCTGAATCACAGATAAACAGGGCTGGGGATGCAGCTTGGTGTGGAGGCCTGGGTTCAAGGCCCAGGAAGAAAAGGGGAGAGAGAGAGCAGATGCACTTACGGGCGCCCCCTGGTGTTCAGAGAGAGCGATGTCCTTGTCAGATGCTCTCTGGTCCTAGCTCCTCGCTGCGTTTGGACCCAAGTTTAGAGTTCACCTTTCTCTCTTTGAGGCCTGGTCAGAAAACCAGTTCCCCAACAAACTTCTCCAAACTCATCAGCAACGGTTACAAGGACGAGTGGTTACAGCAGCAGCGACTGGACTCTGAGAAGAGGACCCGGAAGACGTCTAGGGCATCAGTGTCATCCCAGTCCATGCAGGACCCCGAGGGACCTCAGGACGCAGAGGCGCCGCAGGACACACAAGCTCCCGAAGTCTCTGAGAAAGCCGAAGGTGAGGCGCAGCCTGCCATCCTGGCGTCCCGTGAGTTTGGCCCACTGTGATGGATGATCCTGGGAGGCAGGAGGCTGAGGCAGGAGGATGGCATGTTCAGGTACCAGGCAACTCAGCAAGACCTGCCTTAAAACAAATAAAAACTTTTTAAAGGATTAGGAATGTAGCTCAGTGTGACAGGCTTGGATTTATTCCCCCGACAGAAAAAAGGTTTCGTTAGAAAAACTGTTTTTGTTTTTTTTAACCTCGATCCTTCCTCTGGTGTTTGCCAGATGTTGGTTCTCCATTTGGCATGGTGAAAACTGAACACAGTAGGACCCCAGTGCGTGAGGTCCACTCCGGGGCAACGCTCAGTAAGTCGGATGCGTTTGTAGTCTGACAACGTGAGTCCCGCACAGTGCGCCTGTGTTCCTTACGCCGTGCGCCTGTGTGAATTCTAGCCTCCAATGCTCAAAGGGCGGGGACTTGCTCTACACCAAATAGCAGCAGCTATGGGCTCCTGGACCTGAAGAACCCTGACCCCACAAGGTGGACTTCGGCCTGTGCTAAAGGCTGGGCTCTTTCATAAAAACCCCTCAAGTTTTCCCCTACCCCCCCTTTTTTTTTTGCAAAGAACTTAACATTCAAACTGGCTACTGCTCTGTTACCTGCATTTCTTAAATGCTGAATAATTTAGAATTTTCCCAGTAGTTAGATGCTCCAATTAGTTTTTATTGGTTTTTATTGTTAACAGTCCCCAAGAAAATTATTCTCACCTTGTTTTTTTTTTTTTTTTTTTTTTTTTTTTGGTACTGGGGATCAAACTCAGGAGCTTGCACTTGCCAAGCAGGAGCTTGTGCCACTAAGCTAAATCCCCAGCCCCTCTCACCTTGATTTTGGATACATGCATCTGATAGCTGATGGAATGTTCAAGACCAGTGTCAGAGATATTTTCCCATATACTTTCCCTAGTGCGTTTACAGTTTCAGGTCTATGTGGTATCTTAAGATTTTAATCTAGTTTGAGTTGAGCTATGGTATGATATGAATGACCAATTTTTATTCTTTTGATATGCATATTCATTTTCCCCAACAACATTTAGTGGAAAGATCATTCTCTCCCCACTGTATACTCTTGTTAAAAACAGCATAGGTTTGTTTCTGGTCTCTAACCTGTGCCATGTTCTATGTATATGTTTTTGTGCCAGTGCCATGCTGTTTTGATTACTCTGCCTTTGTAATATATTTTGCACTTGATTATCATGATGTCTCTGGCTTTGTTCATTTTCCTCAAGATTGCTTTGGTTATTCAGATTCTTTTAGGGCTCTCTATAAATTTTAGAATTGTTTTCTATTTCTGTGAAAAAGGTCACTGGAATTTTTATAGACACCTTTGGATAGCATGGATATCATGTCTCGCAATCCATGAACATGGTATACCTTTCCATATATTTCAGTTTCCCTGGTTATTTACTTTTAATAATTTTAGTCCTACTGAGAAGAGAGTTTTTTGGTTAATTTCTTTTTTGCAATAGATCTTTTTTTTGTTTTGTTTTGCCTTTATTTATTTATTTTCTTGTTGTTCATTGTTAAGGAACACAGTGCTACTGATTTTTGCATGTCAATCTTGTTTCCTGCAACTTTACTGTAATTTTTGATCAGGACTAGCAATTCTCTGCTGCGGTTCTTGGGATTTTCTGTATAGGAGGTTATGCTGTCTGTAACTCCTCTGCCTTGGTTTGGACGGGTTTTCTTTCTTTTTCCTGCGTGCTTGCTCTGGCTAGGATGTGCATTGCTGCACTGGGTAGAAGTGGGGAGCGGGCACTTGCTGATCTCACTGGCACACTTTCCACATCCACCAGTGAGCACGGGGCCAGCTTTGACCACGTCGCTTTAATGTACCGAGGTGCGTTCCTTCCGTGACTCACTCTATCAGGAAGTGGAATTTTGGCACGCTTTTCTGAGGTAATTAAATATTTATCTCTCTCTGTGTATCACATAGGTTTTGTCCTTCATCCTGTTAATGTGGTAGATCGCATTTATTGATTCACGTGTTAAATCATTTTGGCACACCAGGGATAACTCCCGCTTGACCATGGTACATGATCCTTTCTTGTGTTTCTAAGTTGGGTTTATTTTATTTTTGTCTCCGTGCTCATCGGGTCCCTCGGCCTGCAGCTTTCTTTTCTTGCAGTGTCCTTGTCTGGCTTTGGATGAGGGTCGCGTTGGCCTCAGACGATGAGTTTGGAAGTATTTGTGGGAGGAGTTTGGAAAGAATTAGCAGTGCCTCGCGGTATCCGCAGTGAAGTTATCCCGGCCTGACTTTTCTGTGATGGAGATTTTTATTACAGATAGAAAAGCCTTCTGAACCTTTTCTCACTGCTGATCTGTCCAGGTTTTCTATTCCATCATGATTTGGCCTTGATAGCTTGTCTGTCTGCAGGAATCTTCCATTTCTTCTAGCTGAGCTGGGTTGTTGGTGTATGATTCTTTGTACGTAGCGTCCTAAAACCTTTTGCATTTCTGTGGTATCAATGTAGTATCTTCTTTTTTTATAATATGTTCTTTGTGTCTTTATTTTTTCCCTCAGTGTAGCTAAATGTTTTCCAATTTTGTTTCTTTAAAAAAAACAGCTTTTAGTTTGTGGATCTTATCTTTGTTTCTTTCTTGATCTATACTTTATTTATTCCCGTCAGATCATTCTTTCCTTACTTCTGCTAACCATGAGCTCAACCCAGTCTTTTTAGGATATTAATTTACAGTTGCATGACCAGTCACCTCGCCTGCCAGGGTAAGTCAGGGTTCCTAGTGTCATGTTCTGTGTGGTCTCAAGGAGACAGGGTTTACTCCACCACCAACAACATAAGAAATGTAATCAAGAATCTGTCCCCTAGCAGAGGTATGGGCTTACAATTTCTCAGTGAAGAGATAAAGCAGGGGCTGGGGATACAGCTCAGCGGCACAGCGCCTGACTGGCAAGCTCAGGGTTGTGAGTTCAATCCCCAGTCCAGGTACTATTTAATCTAAGTGTTTCCATTAGCAACAAGGCCTGCTTCATTCCAAAGGAACATTTAATCATCCAAAATCAATGGACGCCCTGCTGGGGGGACAACAAGGCCCCCACATCTGGGGGAGCAAACTGGCTAGACCCTGCTGCAGGCTCAGCGGGGTGTCACCCAGAGCTGCTCCCACCCCTGCCATCCCCCTACCCCAGCTATGGGTTCTTTCCCCTCGATTTCTGTTTTCTTTACCGCCTTGGGGCTTAAACTTTATAAACAGCAGTGACCCAGCCAGCTGCACCGTTTCCCTGCCGAGGTGACCCCTCCCTGAGAGCTGTCTCCACACTGTCCTTGGGTTCAGGCTTTGTGGTTAGCTGTGTCTCCTCCCAGGGGAGCAGGCTATGATGCTTGGTCTCCTGCTGGGGGAAGGGGGGTGCTGAGCTGGGGCTCGCTGGCTGTGGGGTCACGGCTTCTGTTTTGTACCTGACTGGGGCTCCTGGGGATACGTAGTGCAGCAGCTGGGGTGCAGGGACAGATGCACCCAGAATCCCGCTCGGCTGGGAGGACACTGGTGGCCCAGGCAGTGCTCCCGCTGCCTGACGCCTTGGTTGTAGCAGAACCAAGATCGTGGACTTTTGTGTCCCCACAGGACATGCCCAGTCCCTCCCACCCAGTGCCAGCCCTGGGGACTCAGTGTGCTGGGAGGGACACAGGATTGGGTGCTGCTTTTGTTTCTTTCTCAATACTGGAGATGAAGTTTAGGGCCTTTGCACTGAGCTACATACTTCGTCCCCTTTTTAAAAATGTTACTATTGTTGTTGATGGTGATGTTTTTAGCATTGATTCAGGAGCTCTCTGTGACTGACTTACCCAGGCTTGCAGTCCTCCTGCCTCGGCCTCCTGTGGTATAGAGATTTCAGGCGTATACCATCGCACCCAAGTAGGTGCTAGATTTTTATGTACACATTAGGTCTAAGCCTAAAAACGGGCAGAAGTGCGTGCTTTTCTCCCTGAGATGAACGGTTGGTTTGTGACGCTTAAGGAACGCCCCTGTGAGAGTCTCCTGTGTTTTCACTGTGCCTTGCAGGTCCAGATAGATCTCCGTCCGCGCCGACACCGGCTGAGCTCGCATAGACCTGCTGTGACCCTCAGGATCGCGTCCAGGAGCCAGTGGCCAAAGGACCGCGTCCCCCTACTGTCCCACGGCTCCTGTCCCACGGCTCCTGTCCCGATGGATGCATGGCAGCGACTGCTACGGACCGGGCACCTCCAGTAGATTTGATGACCTTATGCATGGGCGGCGATGCGCCCGCCTGTCCTCCAGGCTCCAAGCACAACCCGGGGCCTGGCTGACCCTCGGCTCCTGGGCTGGCGATATGCCCTGCTCTTGGGACTGAGTTAACTCCTTCCTGTTTTCCACCAGCATCACCTCCGGGTGTGGCTGGGCAGCGCTGGCCCTGGACCCCGCACGGGCAGAGGCGCACGGCGAGCTTACAGCCCTTTCCTGCAGTCGATCCTACAATCTCCATAGAAATCATTTTCAGTTACAAAAAGTAAATTAATTGTAGAATATGGTGATATACTTTAAGTCTAAAAGAATTCTATGATGACTTGAAGTTTTAAACATTTAGTACGCAATAAAACATTGTAACGTTTGCTAGTTTTAAATTTTTTGCTAATACTTTCTGAAGTCCAGACTATTAAAGTCACTTTGTATCATTTCAGTAAAAGTACATTTAATTTTAGCACTTAATTTAGTAGGCTTCAAAAAAACAAGTTTTTAGTAATCAGACTGGTCTTATTTTATAAAGTTTATTATAGATTTTATATAACTGATTTGCCTTTCATGTAGTTTTATATTTTATATGTTTAATCCATTAATAAAATAATATTTTTTAACAAAGAAGCTAGGAAGACAGACACGACCACAGATATTTTAGCTTCTTTCACAGAATTAACTTATCATGCACGCACTCAACTAAAAGTTGTTTTAAATTAGTCCTTTAACTGAGATGCTTAATTGAGCACTTACAAACATGCTGTTTATTACAGATATGCTGTTTATTACTCTTACTCTATTGTGGGGGATGAATGCAATACGTAACTAATTTGAGCACTTGTCTATATTAAATAAAAGCAATATACCTGTACAGGAAGTTTTTTCCTCTCTTTTCTCCCTTCCTCTGCATTTCTTCTGCTCAATTCCTACCTCATCTGCCAACAACCTCGTCTTAATGAAAAATTTGTGAGGGATGTATACAATAGTGTAAGAATCCTTCAATTCTTTTTTTAAAGGTTATTATAGTAACAGACACCTGTAATCTCAGCACTCAGAAGGCTGAGGCAGGAGGATTGTTGCAAGTTTGAAACCAGCCTGGGCTGCAAGGTGAGCCCAAAACCAGCCTGAACTGTACGAGACCCTGTCTCCAAAAGACCAAGGTGAAGACAAAGAAGGAGAAGGAGGAACAAGACGGGGAGGAGGAGAAAAAAAACGGAAGATGATGATCGATGTCCTAATTAATGAAATAAAGGCAAGGCGGCCGGGAGTGCAGTGGTGCGGGCATCTGTCTGTCACGTGGGATCTGTCTGTCACTTGGGATCCGTCTGTAGCAGCCTGGCTGGGTCAGAGCCAGGGCCCCCAGAAAGAGGCCAGGGCTGGAGCCCCTGCATGGGATTTGTGTCTCTTGTATAAACAAGGAGACCCAGAGCCTCCCGCATGGTCCAGCGCAGGAGAACCCAGCCGGGAGCCTCCGTCCCCGATCCGCAGGTGCGCCTGGACCGAGCCCGGGGTTCTCCTTGCTCCAGGACGGAAGGAATAGACCGTGGGGGTTGACACGCTGTGAAGTCAGTGGAGTTTTGTTAAAGCAGCCTGAGTGGATTAGGGTAGATCTGAAAAAGAAATCAGACTGACACCGTCCCCGGGTGGCCTGAGATCTATGTAGAAAATCAGCCGACAAACAGAACTAACTCTTAGTGACCAATTATATATAGCAAGGTTGCAGAATACTAAGATAATATTCCAAACACACAAAGCTGATATAAAGCTAATACATAATGTATTTGTGTAAATATAGAACAATATACAAGGCTGTGGAATACAGAGATAATATGCTTGCTCTGCAGAACCAGGGCAATCTCAGCAGATCCCAGCAAGTTGTTTTGTGGATGCTGACAAGGTAATTAACGAGAGACAAATGGCTCTGTTTGGCCAGAGACAAACCAGAGACAAATGGTCTCTGGTTGTTGGAGACCACTAGGAAGCAGCTCTGAGCAGGATGTAAAAGTAACTACTTGGCTTGCTGTGTTTATCTGTGAGTCTGTCCTAGGCCTCCACCCCTTGCTTGCCGACAGGAGCTGATTCATAGTGAGGGACCTCTGTAAATCGCTGGTCCTGGCTGAGGCCTGCAGTGGACTGTGAGGCCAGAGTTACCTCAAAGGGCAAGGTAAGGGCACAGCTGCAGACACTCTGGCTCCAACATCAATTTAGTAGATAGATTCGCAGCTGTAGGAATTATTCCTACAGTCTCACTCCTACCATGTCTTCGTGATAACATGGTTCGCCTAACTAGACAGGATGCATTACTTGGAGACTCCCAAGGTCTTGCAGTTTCTCCCAAGGTCCTGCTCATTGCCTGGACTTTCCTCAGTTCCCCCACCCTTTGTTGTTGGACCTAATAAAAGTGGGCAGTCCAGAGAAGTCTTTGTCTTAGCCGTCAGAGTCTCGAACTCAGATAAAAGGTTTTGATCCTCCCAGAGCCCTAAAATCATACCACTTGTCTCAATTTATTTAACCCTCTGCTGTACACTCGTTTGGGAGATTGGGGGTCTTGGTCAGGTCCCGATAGCTGATTGGGTTTTTTTTTTTTTTTTTTTTTTTTTTTTTTGTCTTTTTCCTTTTTATTGGTACTGGGGAATTGAACTCACGACTTCCTGCTTGCAAAGCAGGTACTTATGCCACTGAGCTAAACCCCCAGCCCTTCAGGTTTTTTTTTTTTTTTTTTTTTTTTGAGACAGGGTCTTGCTATGCAGTTCAGGCTGGCCTTGAACTCACTATTTAGCCCAGGCTGGCCTCTAACAGTGATCCTCCTGCCTCAGCCTCCCAGGAGAGGGATGACAAGCGTGTGCCACCATGGTTCTGTAGACAGATGTCTGAAAGACAAATGCTCTGTCCTCCGAGGCAGGGGGACAGGGGACCACCTGGATGACTCTCCATTGACTGAACCTGGCCAGATTGCCGTGTTTTGATACATGCAGGGCTGGCTCTGACGTTTCCCCATTGCCGCAGCTGGCTTTAAACAATGCAAATGAGTCTAGCAGAGGTACTGGTGTGTGGTCATTAAAGCAATGGACAGGTCAGTAAAGCCCCTGCCTATAACTCTCACATATGTGTGAGCCAGGCCAGTGACCAAGCCATCTGCTGAGACTGAGCCCCGAGGTAAGAGGCTGTGGCTCCTCAGGACGTGGAAAATGACACCTCTGAACTGAAGCACCCACCGCAAGACCCGAGGCACCGCCCCAGGCGGTGTTACGCAGACTATTTCTGCATCTCTCTCCCTCCGTATCCTGCAGAGGTGGTCTTGGCCTCCCACCCCGCCAGCGCATAGCACTCACCTCCTTCACTCCACTCCCACGGTCACCCGTCCCGAGCCACTTCTGCTTCACGTCTTCCCGGGGTCCGAGGCCTTGGTTCCAGGCAGCCCTTGTGCCAGCTGGACTTCGGGCCGCTTGGCTCCCACAGCTACAAACGTGCCTTAGTGACTTTCACTGGAAGTGGTAGACTGGAATTAACCCGTGAGAATTCCAGTAATCTTTCCTTGGGACTTCAAGTGTGGATTTTTCTGGCCCACGATGGGTCCTCAAAGGGCTCTCTGTAAGGGACACGCACTGCCCAGTTCTGAGAGCGACCGTGACACTACAGCAGCTGTGCCTTCCTGTCACTGGTAAAGTAAAACAGAACGACCAATGCAGTGTGATAGACCACTTGGAAATCGTCCGAGTACATACAGACAACTGATCCTTGCCAGAGGAAAAGAGGAAACCACCTTTCTGACAATTGTGCTGAAATAATCAACATTCACAAGGAAAACCAATCTAGACACAAGCACTATCACAGCAGTTTACTCACAAAGGATCGCAGTAAAATACAAAACCACACAACTCCCGCAAAACCATACAGGAGAGAACGCGGGAGAGCTTCGTTTGGTGGTGGTGAGGTCCAGGGGAGCTGGAACTGATGAGCCGGCTTCACAGACATTAAACACTTCTGCCCCCTTAATGATGCTCTCAGGGCAGCAAAAAGACAGGCTGCTAGGTAGGAGGAAAGATTTGCAAGGGAAACAACCGAGAAAGGGTTGATGCCCAAACTACGTGGAAATTTCTTAACACTCCACAAAAGAAAGAGCCCCATATAAAAATGTCCGTCACAGGTCCCTCACCAGTGAAGGCTTTTGAGGGGCCCCACAGATACGGAGAGGTGATGCTATATGTTGTCAGAGAACTAATGGAAGCAACAGTGAGATAGAGTCAAATGCCACCTACTGACGCCAGCCAAGGCTTGAGTACAGAAGCCAACAGCCGCTGTCGGAGCCGCCCCTCACGGCTGGTGGAAGGGCAGACGGGAGATGCTTCCGTGGCCTTATAAACCTAGTTTGCCCCTAGCCCAGCAGGGTGTTTCTCGGTGTTTACCCAAAGCAACTGAAAATTTATATCCACACGAAAACCCTGCATGTGAATGGTTCAGGCAGCTTTCTTACCAAGACTCAGAAGTGGAACCTGTAACACCCATGAGGAACCTGGGAATCCGAGCGGTAGGGATGTGTCAAGGTAGGGTCACTGCTGTGAGCTCGGCCCCGGCAGAGGAGAGGCTGTGGGTAGATATGGGGACGCGGGGGCTGTGTGTGAACTTCCTATGCCTTCTGTTCAGTTTTGCTGTGAATTCCAAGCTGCTCTAAAAAGTCTATTACAACCCAGCATTTGGAGAGGCTGAGTCAGAAGCGCTGCAAGTTCGAGCAAAGTCTGGACAAAGGAAGGGCTTAGCAAGACCCTGCCTCAGAACAGAAAATAAATAACCAGGTGTGGGGATGTAGCTCAGTGCAAAGGTCCTGAGGTCAGTCACCAGTGCTGCCGAGGAAAACAAAACAGGAGGAAAAACAAAACAAAGCAATTCAATTAGAAAACAGGCAGAAGATATGAACATTTCACCCACAAGCACACAAGAAATGTCATCACCCACGTGGAGAGAAACCTGGCAAGGCTGAGCGCATGGTTCCCACACCGTGCGGTAGGCACACAGTGGGCATCGGGAAAGTTCCAAGACAGCTCCTTACTGGGGACGGACGGGGCTCAGGGCCTTCACACTGAGCTCTAGCCTCAGCCCTCTTCGGTCTTTGATAGAGGATCTCACTAAGTCACCAAGTTGGCCTGGCTGGGCTGGAGCATAGGATTGCCCTGCCTCAGCCTCCCAGAAGGCTGGGGTTACAGGTGTGTGCCCCCATGTCTGGTTCCTGCCAGCTGTGTTCTTAAGATTCATCAGCAGGGCACTGGTTAAGTAAACTGGCACAGCACACCATGTCATGTTGCTCAGTTAAAAAGAGAGAACCTAGCCATGAAACAGCCTGGAGGAGTCTCCAGGGAACTCCGTTGAGTGGGAAAAGTGAACTCCTTCAGGTGAGGTGTGCTCTGAACGCAGAGAACCTTTTCGAAATGAGCAGGTTTGGAAACAGGCCAGGCCGGCAGGTGTGGGTAAGGGGGGTCAGAGGGAGGAGGGTATGGATGTTAAAGAGACAGAACTCTTTCCTACCCTGACTACTGCAGTGTATGCATGTGGGTGCTGCTTGTAAATCTTCCCTCATACAGGGAACCCTTTCCTGTCCTCAGTGTGGCCCATGAAGGTTTCTATTTGTGACCCCAAAGAGAAGTTATTGGAACTCTAGTGAGTTAATTCCAATCTACTGAGGGCTGGGGATTTAGCCCTGCATAACACAGCTGGGGTATTAGCTAATAATCTGGGGTCTGTGCTTCAGCTCTGATGCAGGGTCCTGTTTGCCCGGGGCGGGGGGGGGGGCGTCATAATCACAGCCTCTTTCTCGAGGCTCGGTCCCAGCTGACGGCGTGGACCACGGCTCTCTATCCTGCCTGGCTCAACCACATA